GGGCTATTCAGACGCACAAGAGCAATCACATTCCATCCACCGGAATTATATTATAGTCAGTCGTCTCTAGCTGAAGCAAACCGACCTAATCATATCGCCCATTGTTTGGATGGCCCAAACATTGGCTAATCACTTCGAATACACAAATTCATGATAAGAATATATCAAATGGCCAACCGATCGTTTATGTAAACTCTCTTTCTGGAAATTTCAATATTTTCTCGGAGTATAAAGCATCAACGTGTTGTGAATTAGTTGGTTCTTTGTTTTTAGAAAACCAACCAACAAATTGTCTCCAACAATATGTCTATTCGACTAAAGCTGATTGAACAAAAGAAAACAATTATTGGACTCCTACAAGTTGGTTCGTTTTGTACTTTTTTTTATCGGATGAGCAACGGTGTTTTCTTGTCTCTTATACTATATAATTCCCCAAGAGCCATCCCCAATTATTAAAATGCTATTGATTCCAATATTTTGCTTTATATTTCAGTAGCACATCATCATTTTGTTTCTAAATATAACCAATGAAAATAGTGTATTATACTTCTATTTATAATATAAAAATAATAATCACTCCTCTCTATACATCTATTATACAGTTTTTTAAGTCGGGGTCTCAGTTCAGTGCAGCAATTGAGAGAGCCAGAGAGGCATCCCGAGAAGAACGGTACTAATAATAAAAAGAAAGAAACTGAGATTGGTGGAAGAAAGCATATAAATAAATTAAACATCGCTACTGAATCTTTCGAGATCTTTCAAAATCATACATGTTCTTGATCTCATCCCTCAGACTCAGTTCCCTGACGCTTGTCTGCACACTTTTGTCAGAGCGCGCGTCTCCACTGGTATCTTCTTTTTTTTCTTTCAAATTCACTTTCTTTTTGTCATAACACAATGTCGTCGGATATTTTGCTGACGAAGACGAAGATGATAGCGTATGAATAAACCCTTGAGAGCTGCAAAGAGAATCAGTCCCATGCACATGTCCTAAATTCTAACCAAATTGAATAAGTATCTGACCATGCAGTCACTCTCCTCCACGCCACTTTTTATTTCATTTGGGAAGTAACAGATTGAATAAGTATCTAAACCCGCTTAGGTCAACAGGCTCTTACCTGGCCCATGAGGACAAAAGCATTTAACTCCTTTCGACAACACCTTAAAGCCTAAAAAAAACTTGGACTGAAACTAATATTTTTCTTTCTTATATATATTTTTTCTGATGAAATTCTTTCTTATATTTTTGTGAACGATATATATTGACCACCGTGTGAAAACCATAAACGCTTCTACAGTTTTAATCGAAACCAAGGGGAGAAAGACTTGCTTGGATTACGTGCATCTAGTTTAAAGACATTAACTAAAACACAATTAGGACTGGGCAAAAAACCCGGATCCGAAGAATCGAACCGAACCCGATCCAAAAAAGTAGTATTGAATCTGAACCGAAATTGATTCAATATCCGAATGGGTTCAAAATTTTGGTATTTAAAGAACCGAAACCGAACCCGACCCGAACCGAAGTATTTCGGGTACCCGAATATATCCGAAAGAGATTTATATACCTATATATATATTAGTTATTTTTAGATTTAATTTATATATAAAAAAATATATATAAAATACTTTGAAGTTATTCAAAATACTTGTAAATATATATAAATAGTCAAACATACATGTCTAAAATTACTAAAGTACACTTAAAACATCAAAAATACTTTAAAAAATTATTGATTCTCAATCCAAATATTCAAATCAAACTAATTTCTATGTTAATTTTAGGCATTTTGACTTATGTTATTCAACTATTTGTAATATGTTATTTTCTTTACAGATTTTTAGAAATGTAAAGTATATAATCAATTTTAAAATTCTAAAAATAATTTAAATGGGTTATCCGAACCCGAACCGAACCCGAACCGAAATTTAGAAATATCCGAATGAGGCTAAAATTTGTGAACCCGAAAACCCGAAACCCGAATAGATCCGAACCGAACCCGAATGGGTACCCGAACGCCCACCCCTAAACACAATCAATGAAACAGAACGAAACAGCCAACATGCATTGCAAGGGTCGAGCAGGATTTGCCATGGTACATCAAAATCTAATTAGGAGAAGCCACATAAAATTCACGTACTTGTTAGGGCCCGGTGTAATGGTTCTATACATGGGCCTAATGTATAAGTAAGCGAAGGTAAAACAAATGCTTTTCGGAAAAATCATTTTATCACCTTTATTTTCTTTACAATAAAACCTAATCTCAATACTTTTTAAAACGTCCACCATAAGTAAAGAAAGGGACCATCTATCTAAGAAGATAACATAAACCAAAAATTTATTCAGTTTTAAATATCTTTGTGTTTTTATGTTTACATTTTTGCAAGTCGCATACGTTTGAATACTATCATACTCACGTGATACCAATAGATTTTAAAATCATAAAAGATCTGGACCACCAAACATATATATATCCATTATGTAACAATGCATTTGAATATAACATTTCATTGTCTAAGAAATACGCATCTTAGTATGTGGTAAATAAATACGGTAGGTGAAATGAAGGGAGGGAAAGGTTGAGTTCAAAAAACAAAGATGGACCACCACCACAGCATCCAGTGAAATTTGTATGATAAATAAATTGAAGTATCTGTCTTTTACTTTTTGTTTTCTTGTCTTGAGTGTGGTTGAGTGTTTTGAACATTTAGAACTAACTTTTTGGTTTATGGGTATACATTATTAGTAGGGTCATGACTTCTGGTTACGTCCACATCTCTCTCTCACGAGATTTTTCTTAAAGCCATTATGAAACTTTAGAGTAATAAGTCAAATAAAATAGTACTGTAAGACTTTTTTTTGATCTACAAGTAACTAACCAAGTTTTGAATTCAAAACTCGCAAGGCTCTCTTCTTATCTCAGAGTCACATGTTGTAACTAATTTCAAAATAAATTATCATTGACGCATCATTCGACAGAAAGAGGTATCGCAAATCGTTGACTCATCATACATTTTACATTTTTGTTTCGTCCAATACTTTACTTTAAACTTTCAAATTTTAAATACATCTTTTATTTTAACAAATAAGAGTTATACATAGGTCAATATGTCTACACTCTATAGTTTGTATCGGTAATCGATGACAGCAAGCATTTCATAATAATATAATTATTCAAAATTATCAACAAAATTTTAAATTATAAAAAAATAAACTTAAAGTTAAGACCATAATTAACCCGAGTTTCTTAAGACGGAGTTCTTAACAGAAGTTAAAAAACTGTTTTTTAATTTCTAACTAAAAACACTAAGAACCGGTTCTTAAAGTTCTTATTAGCTTTCACTAAGAAACCTGTCTTAAGAATCCGGAGTTAATCATGCTCTAAAGAGTGGTTCATTAGTGTTAGATGTGTAACTTTTTAAACATTTTAATTGTTTTTGTTTCCTTCCCACAGTTTTTTTTCTTACCCTTTTAATTTACATTCATATTACACATCACCAGCAACAAAGCATTGCTTGACAAGGCAACATCAAGAAAATTTCAAAGAGGAAAAAGACGATCAAGGATGGCCTGGTGGAACAACATCTCTGCGAGCATTTAAAAACATCTACCAATCGCAATCAATTTTTCTCCTTGTTGGGGGCCTTCTCATTTGGACTCTTATTAAACTAAATTTCCCTAGTTTAAGAGTTTTTACTTCAAAGGTGAAAAAGAAAAGAAAAACACTTGAACCAAAAAAAGAAAAAAAGTAAAAACAAAAAGTTGTATTAATTAAAGACTAGAAGAGGGATTCTTCTAGCTCCGGTTGCTTCTCATTAATTAGCAAACCGTGAAGTAATGACACATATGCCCACTGTACGTGTGAAGATGATTAATGAGGCATTATACTCATACTTAGTACTAAGACAAGTACTAATAGAAACTTTTTAATTAACCCACATCTCACGTAGAGATCAAAACAAATCTATCTTTAAATCTCGTACTAAATTACATTTAATTAACTACTAATTAAAGTCTCTTCCTTTTTTTTTCTATTTCTCCCTATACTATGTTAGGGTCAACAGGTCAAATATTGTTTTATTTTTTAAACACTGTTTTAATGTCGTTAGTAAAGTTAATTTCTTTCTTTTTTTTCATTAATAAAAAAAAAATGTGACTTCTTTTTTATCGTTTAAACCCACAACACTAGTGAGTGCTCCGTCTCCTTCACAACCAAAGACAAACTCTCTTTCCCCAAGAGCGGAGCTGATTCACCATCTCGATCTGCCTTCCCCTCCAAAGGGTTTTCTTTCTGGAGCTTCGCAGGTCCAAATCTCAATCCTTTTCACTTATTTTCTAATAAAAAGTTTTGAACTTTATGTTCATGCTTGTTCATCCGCGTATCTGCATTGTGTTTGTGTTTGAGCTTTTGCTTTTCAGACGAGTTTTGTCTTGTGGGTTTCTTAATTAGAACATGAAGACATAAAAAAGAAGAGAATTTGAGTTCTGTCGATAGGGTTTTTGTAGATGTTTGAGCTCTGGTTTGTAAAGGTTTCTCACGATCTGTTTGTTTTCATGAGAAAGTGCATTTTTTGATGGATGATGTTTATATTACCGAACAAAGAAAGAAACAGTAGGTAGATTCACAAATATTGTTTTTTCCTAATGTATTTTGGGAGATATTTTTATAGATTTAGCTATTAAGTTGGGTCTTTTCTCTACATTACTAGTTGCATTGTTCAATAAGGAAATCAAATAACTTTTGATTTTACTTCCATTGGATCTTATATAGTTTGATAAAAGTATTAAAAGCTTTGAACTTGAAAAATGTATCTCTATGTGATATTCTTGGTTCAACGGACCAATTCACTTGGAAAGTAAGCATTCATGTGGTGCTCTCTCTTTGTTGCCTTGACCGTTGATCTTTGTGTCGTTTTCACAGATCGGAGGTAGATGATGCAGTTCTAAGAAGCTCTCAAGACTACTTTCAAGGGTGTGTGTTGTAGTGGGGATTTAAAACATGGGGAAGGAAAATGTTGTCTCTCGTCCTTTCACTCGTGCCTTTGCGTCTGCTTTGCGTGCTTCAGAAGCGGCTTCTACTACACAGAGAGCAAACACAAAGAGACCAGCCTCGGAGGATGTGAACGTCTCTGCACCACCTAATAAGAAGAAGAAGCGAGCTGTTCTTGGGGATATCTCAAATGTTGGCTTCAGTTATTCAGCTAAACTTGAGGTTGTTAAAAGTGCATCATGTTCTTTTCTTTTTTTTTTTTTAAATAATGTTTGGCTTCCTGAACATGAGTTTTTGCCATTTCAGGGTAAAGACATCAAGCTGGTAAAGAAGAGTCAGGAGTTGGCATCTTGTGTTACTTCAGAAGTCACAGATCTTCAGTCCGGGACCGAGACAAAAGCTGAAATTGTATCAGTGACAGCTGGAGACACAAATGAGAATGACACAGTTGATAAGTGTATCGAGAAACACAGATTGCCTCCAAGACCTCCTGGAAGATCAGGTTCTATAGGTGATCCAACAAACACAAATCATCATGTTATTTTAGCTCCCCTTGTTGAATGATTTAATAATAAACTTGTTTTTTTTTTGCAAATGGTTACAGTTGAGAAAAGTGCTGTTATTGTTAGTTCAACTGCATTGGATCTCCCAAAATTCACAGACATTGATTCTGATGACAAGGATCCTCTACTGTGTTGTCTCTACGCCCCTGAAATCTACCACAATTTGCGTGTTTCAGAGGTAATTCCTAGACTTGATTATAGTCTCTACAGAAACTTGGTAAGCCTAATCACTCAAAAGTCTGATTCTCTCTGCTTCTGTGTTACTTTCTCCTTGCAGCTTAAACGCAGACCGGTTCCTGACTTTATGGAGAGGATACAAAAGGACATCACTCAGTCCATGCGGGGAATTCTGGTTGATTGGCTTGTGGAGGTTAGTGTTTAGTTCCACTTCTCATGCTTTGCCTACCTCGGATTTTGACAAAAGTCTAATCTCACTCACAGGTCTCTGAGGAATACTCGCTTGTACCTGACACTCTTTACCTCACAGTGTATCTCATAGACTGGTTCCTCCATGGAAACTACTTGGAAAGACCGAAACTTCAACTCCTCGGCATCACTTGCATGCTCATTGCCTCGTAGGTTCCTCTCCACTTTCTACTGTAAATCTCTTCTTAGACGCAAATTAAACTTTTAACTCTCAAAACTTAACAGGAAGTATGAGGAAATCTCTGCGCCACGCATTGAAGAGTTCTGCTTCATCACTGATAACACCTACACAAAAGAACAGGTCCTGGAAATGGAGAACCAAGTACTTGCGCATTTTAGCTTTCAAATATACACTCCCACTCCAAAAACGTTCCTAAGGAGATTCCTCAGAGCAGCGCAAGCCTCTTACCTGGTACTACATTTTGCAATTTGCTCATATATCTGTTCTTACTACAAATTTTATCAGAAAGATTGAGAATCTATCCCTCTCTCTCTCTCTGCAGAGACCGCGCCTTGAACTCGAGTGTCTAGCCAGCTATCTAACGGAGTTAACATTGATAGACTATCATTTCTTGAAGTTTATTCCTTCAGTCATCGCTGCTTCAGCGGTTTTTCTTGCCAAGTGGACGTTAGACCAATCAAACCATCCATGGGTCTGTGATGTTGCTTCTCTTTCTCTATTTCCAGACACTAGTTTAGTTCCACAAATCTTGGATCTCTAACTTCTTTTTGTTTCCTTTTCCCTCTGCAGAATCCAACACTTGAGCACTACACAACGTACAAAGCGTCAGATCTCAAAGCATCTGTTCATGCCTTGCAAGATCTGCAGCTTAACACCAGAGGTTGCCCTTTGAACGCTATACGCATGAAGTATAGGCAAGAGAAGGTACATTTATATACTACCCGGTTTGGTGTGGTTTAAATTCGGTTTTCTCAGATCCTCATTAAGACAGAACTTTTTTGGATTTGCAGTTCAAATCTGTGGCGGTTCTCATGTCTCCAAAACTACTTGACACGCTATTCTGAAGGGCTAAACCGAACGGTTCAGCTCCTAACCGATAATAGATCCTTGTGACATTGATGTGGTCCGGTTCGTCTTCATTCATCAGTTACTTATTTGTTGATAAAACAGTTCCCACAGTCCTCCACTCGTCTAATACCTGATTAGAATTCGGTTTAGCTTGGTTTAGTTTGATCTGGAGGTTTGGTTCTTCCAAACACCAGACCTGGTTTAAACTAATCGGTAACAAGAGTTTATTTTAGTTGTATCGAGAAATGTACATTTTCTCCCATCTTGAGGCAATGTAAACAGTTTCGGGAATTTCATACTATTTATTTATTTTCCGATGAGGTAATTTAAATGTTTACATCATTTTGTTACTGTTCCATGCTTTCATATCTGTAACTTTTATTTATGCCATATAGAACCACCTTAACACTTTAGCCACTGATCAAAATATCAAATGAGTTATTATATTAAAGATTAAACAATTTATCAAAACTTCTGATTCGGCCAAAGAAAAACCCTCTCGTACAATTTATCAAAACTTCTTGTATTTTACTATTAGTCACCTCAAGATCATGTTGGCAACAATACAGCGTTGACTTTTAAAGATATGTTGGTGCATTTGGCTCGGAAAATGTTTTTTGTTTTTGTTTTTGTAAGTCTTGTACCATAGATAGTCTCCCAAAAACACTATAACTAATCAGAAAGCTTTATTTTTGTATTTCTGCGAAAAAAGTTAGATGAATGTTTTCATCCATTTGTTCCGCCTTGTTAGAGATGATGAGTCTAGGCACCCTAACAGATATTGGACCAAAGTTGAGTTAGATGCCACTTTGGTCCAGATTGTTTCAGCCTTAGTTGTTCTGACTCTAAGTGTGGCAAGAGATGAACATCCACAAACGCCACTGTTGATATGGTTCATTGGTTATACTTGTGGCTGTACTGCAAATCTCCCTGTCCTCTATTGGCGTTTCCACACTTTTGACCAAGATTCATCCGATTCTACAGCACTCGCTGCTACAGATGAAGAAGTTAACATTCAAGCTGTTGGGCATGAATACCCAAGGACAAGGTATAAAACTCTCTTTTATTTTTGGTTTAGCTAGCTAAAAGACAAACAGTATCTATAGTTTAGATGTAATAGATGTTTTGATATTGATTGTAGAATTCATAAGGTGATGGAATTTTTCAAGGTGGTGCTTGAATTTTTCTTTATTGGATGGTTTTGGGGATATCATTGGTTCTTTTATGACAAACCATCTCCTGATGATGGTTCTTTACTGTACTGGTGAGCATCCACCAAAATTTCCCATCATTTCTCAATTAAAAACAAAACAGAGTTGAATTCTCTAAAAATCATGTATATATATCTACAAAGCCCATTTAATTATTTTCTCTTCATTTCTCTCTTGCAGGTTAAGTGTGGGTTTCCTTGCTTTCAGTTTCATTAGACATGCATATATTATTGTATCACTGTTCTATGTATGTGCATTACTGCCTGTTTATATATGTTGTTACTCGGTTGTAGGAGTCATTAGACTTATTATCATGTTTATCAAAGCATCGTATGCATGCTTTTTGAGGTCAAACGATGTAGACTCTGAAAAGGAAGATGAAGATATTGTGAGTAGTGATTATCATATAATCAAATAAAATCTTCAGTTCAAAATCATTACACTAAATAGGGTTTTGGTTGACTTTGGCTTCTATGTTTGTCTGCAGATTTGTTGCATCTGCTTGGGGAATTGCGGAGATGAAAAAGAGGAGAAACTACCATGCTCGCACGTATTTCATTTTAAGTGTATAAGGAGGTGGCTGAGTATTAAACCCACGTGTCCTCTGTGTCAATCACAGTTCGACGTGTTTCCAACACTCTTGTCTACGAGTGAAAATGTACAAGGCTGAGTTTCCTTTTTCCTTTTCTCACCAGTTGTTGACTCTGTATCAATACTGAGAAATGTAACCGCCTAGCAATTTTTACTAGCATTATTTTTGTTTCATTTTAAAACACCATATAGCTTAGCATCAAAGAGTTTAGTAATTGACTTAGAGTTGGTCTTGAAATGAATCGGTTACAGAAGAAGTAGAAAATTTGAATATATGCTTTGTGTCTCAAGTATAAACGCAGAATTAGATGAACTTCTAACTGGATTAACAAGCCAAAAGTGAACTGAGTGATTCATATGCTGATATGCAGTTCAAAGTATATGGAACTCAATCGACGTTGTTATGACTATTTTCTAGATTGCTGCAGCGTCAATACTTGTGATTCAGCCAAAAGACCAAGAACATCCATAAACAATAGTGTTTATAAGGATCATCAGTTACATTTGTGGCTGTACTGCCACTCTCCCAATCATATGTTAGCGTTTTGGTATTATAAAAAAAGTGCTAGCTCAGAATCTGCAGAGAAGTACTCAGGAGGGACAAGGTACAAACAGTATTTCTTCTCTATATCAATTTATTTCGAAGGCATTAGAAACCTAATTGATATATATGTAACTTGTTGAATCTAGCATGTGAATTCCTTGCGTGCATCTGCAGTTAAAAATGGCCGATCATGTTTTTTTTGTTTTGTTTTTTTGGTGTAAATGTTAAATCATGGCCAACCATGTTGTTTTCTTTCTTCTTATGTTCAATAACTATTGGAACGTACAGAAAAAAATTTGATTTGTATTTTCAATAGCCAGCTTCAGTAACCATGAACTGGCTGCCCTTCCATAGAGCATCACGCTGAATGCAATTAATGTTCTTTTGTTGATCATTAGTGATAATTTCTCTCTGGGGTTAATGTTAGGTTAACATCAGTGAACATGTGGTGTAAATTTTTTTTACCAAGGTCAATGCTTGGTGTTCCTATTGAAAGACTATAATTTAGCACCAAAGATATTAATTATTACGTTATAAAAGACTAGAATTCACTAATAATTGGTCTTGGTATGAAGTTAGTCTTACAAATATATAAAAGCAAATTGACCAAAAATATATAAAAACAAAATAAAAATGATAAAACACATCTTAGAACATCATTAGTGGAGGTTTCTTAAGGCGGGTTTCTTAGGAAAATATAAGAAACTGTTTTATAACTTTTAATTGAAAAGCTAATAAATTGTTTCTTAAAGTTTCTTATATTTCCCTAAGAAACCCGCCTTAAAAAACATGTAATAATGATGCTCTTGACGTTTTCATTCAACTATAGATTGCTTGATATTAATTTGAAAAAAAAAAATTGTCAAATACTTTATAAATCTACCCTAGCGTGTAAAACTTTCAATAAAGTGGACGTGCCGGAGTGGTTATCGGGCATGACTAGAAATCATGTGGGCTTTGCCCGCGCAGGTTCGAATCCTGCCGTTCACGATTTTTATTCCTTTATCATTTTTTTTTTGATTTTTAATTTAGTCGTTTTTTCAGCTTATATCATCCCGCCTATAACTGAACCCTAGCTTTTCACTGATACTATATCCCGCTTTCCCAAACACTTTTCAATTTTCAAATTCACATAACCTCTCACTCTATCATACGCTTTCCCAAACACTTTTCAATTTTCAAAATCACATAACCTCTCTCTCTCTCTCTATCATCTCTCTCGAATCGGCAGAGAATTTTCCGGTGGATCAGATGACTGATCTGAGCCAGAGTTCAATCGCAGAGTCGGATCCCTTACACGCTTACTCAGGTCTATCGTTGTTTCCCCGCACGCTGAAATCAATGTCCATCCCTCTCCCTCCTCCTCCTCCTCCTCCTCTCCACCAATCCGACGCTCTTCACCAGACCCATACTCTCCTTCAATCTATCGTAATCTCCTTCATACTTTTGATTTCGATAAAATCACCCTACGGTTTTTTATTTTATTTGTGTTGCTCAAAATTCGGAGAGTGAGTCGATTCGGTAATTTTAGGGCTGCGAAATCGATTTATTAAATCGTTATTTTTTTGTTTGAACCCTAATATACTTGATAGAGAGCTGGATGTGTGAGCGTTATAGCTTGGTTTTCAGATTCTCTTCAAAGATAATTTTAAGATGTCTTGTAACGGAGAATCGTGAAATTTTTGACGGTGTTATCTCCCTGAGTTTCTGTAGATCTGATGAGGCGTTAGAGCTCTTTTGGTTGCTCTCTAAGTAAAATAACCTCTGTTGGCTGCTAATATACTATACGATTACGTGCTGTACATTTGGCTTCATAGGCTTTCTCTTGGTTTCAGTTGTTAAGGAAATGCAGAACGAGTTTTAATAAGACAAACTGTAGTTTTTACTTTCTGCTGACAAATCCTTGTTTTTTTATTGACAGCCTTTTGAAGTTTCGAAAGAGCATCAGGAGCAGGCAAAGGCTATCTTAGATGAAAGCTCTGAACTTTTGAAGCAAGGGATTGGGAGCAGTGTAGCTTCTGTAGATACGAATGTTGGTGTGGAGGTGAATCCTGTCCCTAATAAGCGAGAAAGAAGACCGGCTTATGAACGTAAGCGAGAACGCTTTACTATCAAGCCTACGAGAAGGTATATTATCAGTAATCGCAGCTGTTCCATCTGCTTCCTTTACAGAAGTTTTGCTGAAGCATATATATATATATTCTTGTTTGCAGTATATCACCGCAAAAAGAACCATCCTTTGATCCTAGTAAATATCCGAAACCTGGAGAGTACTTTGCTGCGTATGAGAGTTTTTTAGGTGAGTTATACCTTTTTTCTGATGTTCTTAGCCTTGGCTTGTTTATTATATGACTATTCTTCGAATATGATTTTTTTTTTTGCTGGTTTTAAAATAGTTGCTCAACGAGAATGGCAGAAGCAATCTGGCACCTATGTGAAAGAGACTTACCATTATCAGCCACCAAAACGCAGACCAGAACTTCCAGGGTATGTAGTATGAGCAGTTCTGTTACTACATGTTACAGAGTTGTTCCATTTGCAGATTTTAATATCTGTTTCCGTTGATGCTTACATTTTGAATTACAGGAAAAAACGGGGTACATACAAGCATACTTATACGGATAGTTATCTCGATGCCTTGAAAGCTTCGGAAAACGAAAACCACATTCCTTCGGAACAAAGCTTAGAGGAAAACACAGTTGCACATGTTAAGACTGCGGTACATAGCTTAGAGGAAAACAGAGCTGCACATGTTAAGGCTGCGGAACAAAGCTTAGAGGAAAACACAGCTGCACCTCTTAAGACTGCGGACAGAGAAGTTGATGGTAAGTGAGAACTTGTATTAGAATCGAATGTTATGAGCTACCATTTTATTCGATCATGTTTGTTACCATTTTGTTAAGTCTGATAGCGGTAAGCCACTTTGTTCTGCAGCTTCAACCGCATACACAGACAAGAACTTAGAAAATATTTTGACTGAATTGCTTGCTTGCTCTCCGGATGAGCTTGAGGGGGATGCTGGTATCAAGCTTTTGCAGGAACGCTTGAATATCAAGCCCATTGATAAGCAAATGCTTTCTTTCCCTGAAATTCCTGAATTTCCAGATGTGAGACGAATGAACTTGAAAGCGTATGGAAGGAACCCATCAAAGCCAAGAACTGCGCTGTCAAACATACAAAATTTGCTAAAAGGGATCAACAGTGATGCGAGTCGGAAAAAAAGCCAGGCATCGCCATCATATTCACCGGAGGATCAGTTTTCATTTCCCGACAGGCTTAATTTGCTTCCAGGAGATCAACAGCCTGGAGAGGTCGTTATAGCAAAGGATTTGAATGCCTCTTTGGGATCTTCAGTGGCCAACAATGCTGATAAAGTGATAACTAATGCATCTCCGTCTAATGTGGACACTGTACACGTTGCTAGCGAATTCAACAGTTCAGTGCAGAAGAGTTCCTGTGAAGGTGGTTCTGACACTCTATCTGGCGTCTATAGATCTAATTCATGTCCAGATAGGAACGCAGATAACTGCGTGGATGATAGCATCACAAACATAAATCCAGCCACCGTGGAGGTGAATGTAGATGTGCAAACAAAAGGAAATGAGGGAGATGTGCTTATGGGTGAAAGTGAAGCAAACCGAAACACTGGCAGAAGAGAAAATGATGTTGATATCAATGAACAATCTAAGCAGTTTGACAACTTGGTTAGTTTCTCCTCGACTGTACATGACTTTTTATCACCATATTTGCACCTCTTGTTGGTCACATCTATTGTGGATTGTTGGCGAAATAGGCGGAAAGTGCACCTGGAGAGGATGCAAGAATGGATCATTTTACTGTAGAAGATGAAAGCATCCCATATCAGCAAGGTATATACCCTTTTTACCTTTAAACTATGTAAAGTGAAATCTCAAAACTAAACAAGCAAATTAATATATATCCTAACGTAACTTATACATACTTTCCCATTAACAGTCTCATCTCACTTAAAAGTTGTGGCACAAAGTTTTTCTTTACGACGTTATTTTATCTACAGAACAATACAACTCAATGGATGGATCCATTGAACATGAGGAGCACATTCAAGGACAACATGGAGAGGAAAACGACAACACAGACCCTACTTGTGGAGTTCAAGTAGAAGATGTTCAGGTTAGTTCCCCATCATTGTCTATTCACCTCTTTGTGACTCTGAATTGTTATACTAAGTCGTGGCCAATTTATCTTCACGTGGTCTAAATTGTTTTACTTTCTATGTTTCTCCTTTGCAGACCACTGTAAGTTTTTTTGAACTGTAGTTTTCTACTGGATCCTTATTATAAAATGCATGATAAAAATTACACAATAAACAGACTCAAATGGATTCTGCTTCTTATCAGGTGTTGTGTTTTGGTGATGGGGTGTAGATATTGTTTTAGGCTTTAGTTCAAGCTTACTTTAAAAAAAACGAATATGAGAGTTCTTTACTGACTTTTTCAGCAGGAGGCTCGCAACTCTTCAGCCAAACAGACAAAGAAACGAAGCAAGAGAGGATCTTGTGATAGCAAAATGAATAAGCGAAGCAAAACCGTGCATGGTGATGAGAGTGTAAAGGACAAGCGAGCGAAAACATTATCACATGAAAGTGGAGCAAATAAGCAAACTAAAGGAAAAGCGTACGAGGGAAAGGAGAAGACGCAAAAGAAAACACTAACACGTGAGAGTAAAATGTTCTCCCGTAGGCAAAGCCTTGCAGGTAAACATAAACTTCCCAAAACAAACTGAACACCATTACTCGTGTGCTTGAAGTTGAAATCTTATACTAAAACTGACTTTCTTGTTTTGTCTCTCTCGAAGGTGCTGGTACTAAATGGGAAGCTGGTGTAAGACGAAGTACAAGGATCAAGTCGAGACCACTTGAGTTCTGGAGAGGTGAAAGATTCTTGTACGGACGTATTCACGAGAGTAAGTCGCATATTCTTGTTTTCTTTACCATTTTCAATCCTTGATATTTTTTCAAAGTTTATAAATTTTATCTTTTGTTTCGAAAGGTTTAACGACTGTGATCGGGATAAAGTATGAATCTCCGAGGAACAAGGGCAAAGGCGACGAGCGTTTTTTGAAGGTGAAATCATTTGTATCTGATGAATACAAAGAGCTGGTTGAATCAGCCGCCTTGCACTAGAAGAATCATAATAATCGTAGGAGGAGAGTTGAGTGTTCAAGTTAATAATCTTTTGATCATAACTCTATTGGTATGGTGTTTTCGTGTCTACTATTATCACTTTTGGGTCCCATAACCTGTCACTTTCTTCTTTTATTCAAACCGCAACTGCTTTGGAATTTCGTAAACAAGAGTTTCAACTTTCAGTTAGTTTTCCTTCATGTTGATTAGTCTCAAAGTCTTTGGTATTCTTTTCATGGGCACTTTTTGTCCCCACCTATCTTTGCTTTAAACCCGCCTTGACTATTATTATAATCTTCTCAATCAAATATATTGTATCAGTTATATGAATCTTCAAAGTTCAAATTCAACATGATTTTGGTCTAGTGTCGTAACATTTTTGTTTTTCTTCTATAATAGAATCATCAAAACAAAACAAAAAATATCGACTTTGATTCAACTGTGTAGACTTCTCTTTAAAATTTGAAACTCGAAATTGGAGTTGGAAATTCCTTATTATGGTTTTAATCTTTTGATAGAAGCATCGTCGTGATTTTTGTACCAACATTTAACTTTTAGGTCATGTGCCAATATTGGCAAGAAGTCACAAATATGGAAGAACATGATTAAAATTTGACGATATTACTTCTTTAATGAGCTTGAATATTGTATGACAATAAAAAACGTATTTTAAATTTTGGACTGAGTAAATACGTCTTGTAAGCAACCTTTCTCGAATTTCGCCGTCCGCCTTTTACGCTTGACTTCGGGCCAAGAAATGATATCATGAAAAAGACGTTCCAAGTTTTTAAAAGGTGAAAATTTCATTAAAATAGTTGAAGGTTTTAATACTCAATTTTTTTTTTGTTACTTGGTTTACTCAAAACTGATTATTTTGTTCATTTTCATACAGTTATTTTAAAATTGTGCTTGTTTTAATATTTAAAGTGTACGGATTTTAATCAAAAATATTAATAAGATACAAACAGAACTTAAACAAAAATTAAAATTCGAAAAAGCTTAATAATATAAATAATTATATTTTGGATAATATTTAAAATTAGAATAATTTAATTTTGAAGAAATTCAATAATTTTTTTGAGTTTTAAAAGAAACTAAATTTGAAACTGAAACTAAAACTAGTATCATAAAAATTAAGATTCTATAAAATTTGAATTTTTGAAGATTTGTTTTTGAATTTTAGAATTTTTAAAAAATTAGTTGAAATTTATTATTACAAATTTTAAGTATTAATAAGTTTTCAAATAAATGTATTAAAATGAACAAATAATTAGTTTAAGTATTAAAATGGGTAGAACAAAATTTGGATGTTGAAAATTTAATAAAATTTTGGTCAAATATATTCTATAATTTTCCCGTTAAAAATCAAAGTATTACTACCATCTTTGGCTAGTAACAGAAAAGAAAATATATAAACACATCAGCGCATTAGATAACTAAGAGGCAATAGATTGTTGTCAAAAAAAAAAAAACTAAGAGGCAATAGATCATAGAAAAATGTATAAACTAAATCCAAGATGATGATATCATGGATATCTTCAAGCAAATATTATATACTAATGATTAATTTTAAAAAAGAATTAATTAGTGATTTTAAGTAAAACTACTTATATTGTACGAGTACGACTAGTGATCAAACAAAAACTACTATGATATTTTTACCAAAAGGTATAATATTATTTAAATGATCAAATAATATCCAATAAATACAAAAGTTGCGTAATGACATTGGAATGTTAAAACTATGAACAAATATTTTTATATAATTTTGTACTGTATTATGAAATAAATGGAATACTATTTAGTTTTTGTCTTCATTTTGTTTAAATGCGTTGACCTGACGAACCAGCTGACGATGTTTCCCTTTGGGATGTCGACACCTTATCGTTTGTTATTTTCCAATTATTGTAAGCTTGACGCCGTGTGTTTTCCCAATGCTTCGCGGCCAGGTGCCGTCGTCTGAGTTTCTTCTTATCCTCAACAGACCACCTTTACCATTTCAAATTGTTTTCCATTTTGCTTCTTAATGAAAATCATGTGAAAAGATTAGTGTGTTGTGAATCTCGACGTGTGTTGGTCTAACAAGTGGTGAACTATATTTCTCCAAAAGACCATTTTCAATTAGAAATTGATAATACGGGAGCATCTCCAAAAAGACATTCTATTTTAGAATTTGTAAAACTGTATATTTGAAGTTTGTAGATGTTATGCTCCAAAAACAAAACTTCAAACTGATCTTTAAAACTATTTGTATTAATAGAAATATATAATTAAATATTAAACTATAAATAAAATATCACATTAAGTTTTCTAATATTGTTGTTGTCTAGTTCTAATTTTAACTATTTTTAATCTTATCTTTTTTTCTTGTGAAAATAATATCCGTAAAATTTAAATTTATAAAAAAAATTGAAATATTAACGAGATATGAATTTTTAAGGGTTAAAATGATAAAAACATAAAATATATAAGACTTATAAATATAATGTATAATTGTAAGGACTAAAATGTAAATAGAAATATGAAACTTTAAATTTGAAGTTTTGAGTTGTGACACTCTATATTGGAAGTTTCACTATTCAAAAATTTAAATTTTAAGTTTTAGAGTTTCTTTTTGGAGAACCAAAAATTTCATATTTGAAGTTATAGAGTGTCTTTTGAAGATGTTATGAAGAGTGGACAACAGGTGCACAAAAAATAATGAAGAGTGGACAATCAAATTTGTTACAGTATTTTCTTTTCTTCATTAATTGCATCTACATGGAAATAAATGTATGAAATTATTCAACTCACAGTATAAATGCATAAGTATATGTTCATGGACTTGGATATGTGGTGGACCCTAGGACGTGTCTTAAGTTGCATTGGACATGCCATTCTCCAAGTCTATTGTTATTTATGCAAATAAACTTGATTCATGGTTTTTTTTTAGTGCGCCAAAGATGATATTTTTAAAAATATGTTATTTTCATCATCGTTTACTTTCTAATACCACTGCGACACGATTTTACGCTTATAAAAAGAGTCCTAATGAATACTGTTAAAGATCTTTGATTCTTTGGATTTATTTTCTATACGAAAAGATTATGCTTAGATCATTTACAGTCCCGCTCCACTATTTCACATATAAAACTTGGGATGATATTTTCTTCAACACAATTCCATTTTTCTTATAGAATAAAAAAATCTATTTCAAATATATAGTAATCAAGTTATTTTTCTTTTACTCAACTTTTATTCTAAATACAATATGGTTGAGAAACACAGCTTTAGCTTATAATAAAAATATAATAATACATTTGTGATGATCCTAACAATTGTTTGAATTATATTATATATACAAACACACGTTCTAGTATGCTTATTTAAGAAAAATAGTAAATTTTTAATTAAGAGTATTTCATTTCATAACAGATTTGAGTTTGACTTCAATCTCATTTTGTTGTGAAGTGAAAATGAAATGACGAACAAAAGAAATAAAAGTATTATTCCATTTATGGAGTAATTCTATTATTTATTTTGTTATAAAATGTAAAATAGAGTGGAATGTGCATTTATTACTCATAATTCTATTTTGAAATGAAATATGTAATGGGGTTGAATTGAAACCACATCTACCAAACTGTTTAAAAATGTATATCAACGACTGCGACAATTTGCCTTCTAGAGTTTCTGTTATCGTCTTTGAAGCTATGTGTCTCGATCGTTGTTAATTCGACCCAATCAAACTGAGTTCTTTTTTGTATAATCAGATTCATAGTGTTGACAACAAAAATCAGATTCATAGTAGTGTAAATAATAAGTAACTTCTATATATGCTCCAGTCCAGTAACCATCAATAATGATTGATATGATATCATATAATCTAGTATTATTTACGGCTATTAACACATACTAACAATTTGGACTTGGCTATTGGTTATTTGATTTTTCTTAAAATTGTTTATTGGGTTATTCGTTAGCATATCTTCGTGAATAACTAAGTCACAAGGATCTTTGTGAAATTATTTCGAATATTTTAACTATAATAGTCTGACTATTCAATTAATTATGTCACTCGATCAAAATATCATATATTATACCCACTATTCCGCTAATTTTATAGAATATTTATCTATAATTTTAATTTGATATTTATAAGATTCTCATTACACGACTTGAAGGTTCTTTAATTACCTATACACACTTTACTAATTATTGCACACGGTAAGGCTAGTTCCACGTCGAGCATCTTAGTATTGTCAATTATATAACTAACTTTCCCATTCGTCGCTAATCCAATTGACAATTTCAAAGACGCTAGACTTTGATTAATCAGTTAATTAAGCATATTATCTCCGTTAGATTATGTGGTTTCCGATTCGAAACACCAGAAATCTCACCATCTAAACCGAATAACAAGACTTGTAGGTTTTGATTAATTAATTAGTAAAATAGACAGTCGACAACTAGTACTATAGATTAGTTAACGGCACTTATACCTAGCTGGCTAGATTGATGGCAAAACCAAGAAGCTACCAATTGGTAAAATATCCCCATCATGAAAGAAACAAAACCGAATGCTGACAAAAAAAAGAAGCCCAAAACCAAAACCGCACATCGTTTCTATTAATCGATCGGTACTCTCTTCCGAATTTCGTTACCTTTCTCCTATCGGTGAAAATTTCAGATGCGCTTCTTCTTTTTCTTCTTCGACGTAATTCACATACGATGTTTACCTAAAAGCAAAAGAATTCAACACAGCATATAACTTTACCTTTTTAATAAAGAACGTAACACTTACGTTTCTACTTTCTATAATAAATATTCACATTAACAAGTTCTAGCCGAATCATGAAAATATTATAATAAATATTCATATATTTACCAATTTCTTTTAAAAAATTGACAGTCTAGCGAATGTAATTCAATCAAACACAATAAAATAAAAGCTCAATTGACGAATTAAAAGCTTCATTTTCACTTTCCATCTTCTAGAAGACTTCTCTCTATAAAGTGGCAACACTCTTCTCCCTCACATCATCATTTCTGAATAATTTGTCCGAAAAAAGTAATAAACATCACATCATCTTTTCCTCTTCAACCTTGAAGTTTCTAATTACAATGGAGCTGATCCCTGATCTTCCAGAACCCATAGCCCGCGAGTGTCTCCTACGCTCCTCCTACAAGCAATTTCCTCTCATCGCCTCTGTTTCCAAACTCTGGCGGCGAGAGATCACTCTCCCTGATTTTCTCCGACACCGGAAAGCTTCAGGACACAGCCAGGAGCTTGTTGTCTTGTCCCAGGCTAGAATCAAACCGGTTTCAGAACCCGGTTCAGCAAAAAACATCCCCACTCCCCTGTACCGGATCTCTGTTCTTGAACCGGAGTCCGGTTTATGGACCGAGCTGCCTCCGGTTCCCGGTAAATCCAACGGTTTGCCTCTCTTCTGTAGACTAGCTTCTGTCGGGACGGATCTTGTCGTGATCGGTGGCCTCGAACCCGCCACGTGGCGGACGTCTGATGAGGTATTCATCTTCAGCTTCTTGACTTCCACGTGGCGCAACGGGACGAGCATGCCAGGTGGACCGCGTTCCTTCTTCGCCTGCGCTTCGGACTCCGAACGGAGCGTTTTCGTCGCCGGTGGACACGACGAAGACAAGAACGCGCTGACGTCAGCTCTCGCGTACGACGTGGCGGAAGATTCATGGGCTTTATTGCCAGATATGGGCCGCGAGAGAGACGAATGCGCGGCGATTTTCCACGCTGGCAAATTCCACGTCATAGGTGGTTACGCCACGGTGGAGCAAGGGCAGTTTAGTAAAACCGCAGAAGCGTTCGACGTCACCACGCAACGGTGGGAGCCAGAGACGAAAGACTTCCTCTCTGCTGCTGGTATGACTACGTGGCCTCCCGTATGTGCAACCCGCCAAAACGGAGACCTTTACGCTTGCTGTCGTCGTGATCTGATGGTGATGAGTGGCGACACGTGGCGGAAAGCTGGTGATGTGCCTGCTGACGTGTGTAATGTATCATACGTGGCGGTAAGGAGGTGTGGGAAGCTGGTCGTGATCGGTTCGGCTCGGTATGGTGAACCAAGCGTAGTGTATAATTGGGATAAGAGTGATTGTAGATGGGAGAAACAGGAAACATGTGAGAAATATGAAGGTCACGTTCAAGCTGGTTGTTTCTTGGAGATATAAACAAGAGGATATGCAAGATTGGTCGGTTGGTTTTTTTTCAGTTCCTGGTGTGACCGTGGCAAATATTCTATGATATCAACAAAGGTTTTAAAAGATTGACTGTTAATTTGTTGTTGGTTCATTTAATATTTGCGTGCTTGTGTTGTCAATAAGACAGAAGATTTTTAAAATGTTCGAATCCTACAAGAAATGAGACATAAAGAGCAACATTGGTACTTTGGTCTTTTTGATGATTCATCTTTTGTGGATTAAGAGAATAAAGTTGTGCTTATTTGGGCCACATTAAGCTATTATGCAAGTTAATAAATATCCCGTTAATCATTGTTGTGTGATGTTTCCGAAATTAGTGGTAGATGATTGATATTCTACCAAGACCTCTTTAAATGCAGAGCGAAGAAAATACCGATAGCTACACTGCCGAACGTGCAGCAATGTCGAAGTAAACCTTCTCACTATCATATGACCTTTCAGTCAATAACCTTGAAGCTCACTCGCCTCTGTTCAATTATCTTTCGAGATAATCTTATCAGGGATAAAGTATCATACATCAGTTTTTAAAAAAAAAAATTAAGTGATATATACAAAATTGAGATAGATCAATTTATGACCAATTAATTTTAAATTAGAAATTCATGATAAATCCGAATTTACATGGTTTTGTAGATCAGATCCTAAACTTCTAATATAATTCTTTCGATCATGTATAAATATATATATGTATGACCATGTACAATGGTTTCAACATTCATTTCATTTTCAACATCCTATTTTTCTCTTTTTAACATTTTACATCATCTTTTTTTTCATCCACCTAATTTATTCAACATCCTCTTCATTTTTAACATCTACAATAGTTTGTTTATAAAAATTCAACACCGTGTCCCACTATTTTTAATTTATCATTTTATCTTTATAATATAATAACTATGTGTTAATAATGTTCTTAGTTATAATTAGCTTAAAAACTAAAATAATGTAACTTTAAATTAAAAAATGTTAAAATTTTAAAAAGTTATTATTAGGATTTATTTAACAAAAAAAAGTTTAAAACATTAAAATAGTTAATTCTAGAAAAAATGACGTTTTTATGTGTTCAAATGATATGAGAGTAATCTCTGTTTCTAGCTTGTAAAAAGTTATGAATTTTAATATAACTTTTATTACTTAAAGATAAAATATTATATAATAAATGAATTTTAATTTGGGCAATTCTTTTAAATATCCATCTTTTAATTTTCTTATCATAAAAATAGACCTCAAAAATTAAAATGACCAAAATAGCATTTTTTATTTTGAAAATTTTCAGTTTTTTTTATTTTATTTTTTAAAACTTGAAATCATATCCCAAAAAACCCACTCTTCAATTCTAAACAAAAAAAGTCTAGGATTAGTTAACCCAAGAAATAGAAATATATATTTAATAAAACATTTAAGTGATATTTTGTTCATTTTAATTTTTAAGCTCTATATTTGTGACAAAAACGTTTTTAGGTCTATTCTAGTCATTTTCTCTTTTAGTTATTAGGTGAAAATAAAAATAAAATAAATCTGCACAATATTATATCCAATCAATTTACACCAAGTGGCAATGGTGGTCCACATAAAATTTTATCAATATATTGAAACTTTCCAACGGATGTTAAATTCACATAGATTAACTCAATATTTCGATATTCTCATTGTAAATGTATTCAACAGTTGAAACTCACTTTCAACACTCCTATTCTGGGTATAAATGTCTTAAATACTGACATCATTATCTGGAAAAGAGATATTTATGAATAAAATATCTTACTCGAGAATTAATAAAAACCTTACATAATATATAAAATGATCATGACCAATTCATTTACGGTCAAATAGTTTTAAGTTGGAAATCAGTTAATGAGCCTCTTGGATCTACTAAGTATATATCCACTGCACAAGGTATAAAGCCCACACACGCACAAGAGCAAAGACAAACGCGAAAAACAAAAAAAACACTGTTTCACTGCACAAGGTAGCTCTGATAAAGAAATAACGAAAGTGTAGAAGCTAGTCAAACACGAGAGAAAAGGAAAGACTCGTAGCTCGGCTGTAGAAGATTTAGAGTATAGTCAAGAGCAAGCCAACATTTGAAATCTCGTGTAGAGAGCTTATGGCATCCATGTCTCCTTTGATTTGATGAATATAAGTATATAACACTTTTACTTGGCCATTTTTAAGACCCGCAGTTACACTTGTACATATCTGGATATCTTATACGATAGCCAGCATGTTTAATACTTTTATTATTAGAATAGTTTTAATATATAGAACCGATTCTCAAAAATCATGGGTTCAAACACTCTGAAAAGTGGATCTAATAATGATTTATAAAGATGACTAAAAGAGGTTGAACTCTTCGTCTTTATCTTTAAGTTGAGCTTCTTTTTTTATGATTACAAGGTTGTGTGAAGCCTTATGTCTCCTAAACATGGGACTAGATATGTTATGTGGTCGTATTCCAAACACCACTCGTTCTTACAATTTCCTGACTTATCGAATTGATAAATTAGTAAGAGTCTGGGACGACCGATCTCCAAACTTGATTGTTTATGTGTTGTGTTGATATACTTGTATTCTAAGTCACCAAAGCCCAACATTTGGGTTGAATCCTAAAAGTGGTCATATAGAGGCCCACATAAAACGGTAACGAAGTGAAAGTGTAAAATAAACAATTAAAATGGTTTGTTTCAAAAAAAAAAAAAAAAAAAAAAAAAAAAAAAAAAAAAAAAAACAATTAAAATGGTTTGGCGGGCAATTCTGCAAAATGCTAACGAATCTCGAATATTCCAAATATTATCTGTCATTTCCCTTTCTTTGATAAACTATGAAAAGAAAAGAGGGACACACATTGCAGAGGTTACGTCAGTAAACAAGCTGTTACTAATCCAGTTCTTAATAGACAACTGGTGTTTAAGCGTTACTTTAATAAAAAAGTTTGACAACTCATAATCAAAAATTATTTTTAACAATGGAATTAGTTAATTATTGTGTTTCTGTCAAGACGAGTGAGAAAACAAGTTACCGGGACTAGTGTCGGTGAGACCGAATCAGAGGAATTGTTTAGAGAGTTTATGGAACAGAGGGACCCATACACTCCCGACCAATCTTAGCGTCGCGATCTATTTGAGGTGGTCATGGACCCCAACTTACCCGCAGGAATATTATGGGGACCGCTCCTTAACTCTTGCAAGCTCACTTAGCTTTGGTGTATAATCCCTCCCTTCTATCTTCAAGGTAAAGCGATAATCCACAAGTTATTATTTTAATACATGATTTTCCCAAGATTTGCTATCTCGACTCCCATTACGAATAAACAATAAAAAATTAAAATCTAGATATTATACGTTTCAGATACCAATAAGTATCTGACACGATCCAATGGATAAAATAAATTATTAAAGGACCACAGGTTCTTAAAATATAATTCACGGCAATCAATCAAAATAACTCAGCACTTTCTTTACCTCTAAACAAATGACCCATCCATCACTTATTTTAATGAAATAACATTTCTATGGCAAACCACTTCATCTGATTATTTTCAAACCACTTCATCTGTATTATTTTCTTTTAATGATGCAGTATTACCATCTTTTGATAGAGTTTTCCACGTTTTATAATAAGATAGACTGATGATACGTATCACCATCCTATGGCATTGTCAATGTAAACATAGAGATGTCACCTAATTTTGGCGACCATTGTTAGCCTTAATTTGAAAACATTATAATTACGACAGCGACGATAATCTCTTAATCATATCATGGAAAGTTATGTTACCGTGTAAAATCATCCACTTCTTTTTTTATTCAATTATTGTTTACTTTAATTAGTTGGGACTGGTTTGAATTTTACGTTTACATCTCACCACTATGGATAGGTAACATATGCCATGTAATGATTATATAATTTATAAATAAAGGAAACTAAATCGTGATTGACAGATTAAGTCCTAATGTCAGCCACATAACCAGGAAAGATTATTATCATTACGTGGTAATTTTACAGATTCGTTAGCAACCTGTAGAAGGGAACAAAGATGGGGGAAGATGAAGCATGAGTGGCTACTACTACTCACAGTACCAGAAAATAACTAATATTAACAAAAATCTACAAATAAATATTCAGTTAAGAAATTTTTTTTTTTTTTTTTTGTCACAGTTTAAGAAAAATTTAAAAAGATGATTTATCCGATTGGAGGAGTGCACACCATTCAATACACATAAATAAAAGATACGTCATAGGGGCTTGGGCGCTTGGCTATATCCTCTCACAACTCCTCTTGCTCTTCCTCAGAGGCACACTATCTACATACGGTAGGATGCACCGTATCTTGCTATACGCCTCCCTCTCATAAAATAATCTATTGTAAAGGCTTTGGAATCCAACCTAATCGAACAAATGCCAAAATAATCTTGTACAAACGTTGAATCAAGTCGCCAAAGTATTACTGTATGTGTGCGTGCAAAAAAGTTTCGCGGAATAGATTCCCACAAGACAAATACGAGTATTTATTCCATTTTCAAAAAAAAATTCCTTCCGAATATTATATAATACATTGAATTTCATTTTTTTGGTAAGGAATATATTGAATTTCATGTTTATTTGATACCTTAGATATTATTCAGCGCATACATAGTTAAATCCTTTTCATACAAACATTTCCCCAAACTAACTACGTACATTATTTCGGTATTTCCATTGTATCCTAATTTATAAAATAATTATTCAATGATTTAGCCATATCCATATCTGATAATTATGATTACAATTAAATGACATAGTTAGTCAAAATAACACCGGATAAGGTAAACAAATATCATTAGTTTCTATGAATACTCGAATTACCATGGATAAGCATAATCTCTCACCTACCTAATTTACTCCAATCAGTGTAAAAAAAAAAAACTAATTAATTATTTCCACGTAGACAATTAATTGACTGCGAATCAGAAGAACGTTTATCTGTACTTAACAATCGGACGGATGTTAACGCATCAATGCCACGTGCTTCTTGTCTAAGCCCTAAAATCAACGGTGAAGATTCACCAAAGATAGTACTCTACCTTCGTGTCTGATAACTGACCAGAAAGGAGATCTAAATTCCGACAATACCGAGAGTAAAAAATCCACGCGCTTTCTTATATCAAAAAAAAAAAAAAAATCGTAGAGGTGTAGCGTAAAGAACCGTGCAACTAACCGCACCGGATTCCAACTTCCATTGTAGATGGAGCATCCAAGAGGAGGACTAGGAGAGAGTCAGTAGTGTTATAAAACCACACGATATCCTCACTGAGTTCACGCCTCATTTCATATCTCATTCCATCTCTCTATCTTTCTCTCTGTGTGTTGTGTCTCGTGCGAGATGGTGGCGTTAGCTTTTCTCCCGGAGCTCTGGACGGAGATTCTCATCCCTGTCTGCGCGGTTATCGGCATAGTTTTCTCTCTCTTCCAGTGGTTCATCGTCTCTAGAGTCAGAGTCAGCGCTGACCAAGGCGCGTCGTCGTCTTCAGGTGGTGCCAACAATGGTAAGAATGGTTATGGAGATTACTTGATTGAGGAAGAGGAAGGTGTTAACGACCAGAGTGTCGTCGCTAAGTGCGCTGAGATTCAGACCGCTATATCTGAAGGTAAGATCTTGTCTAACTTGGTTCAGATCTCACTTTGATGTTCTTGGATCTAGCTCTGTTTTGTCCTTAGGCTACGTGGTTGTTTTGGAACATGTAACTACTAAGTTAGTAAACTAGTCTTAGTCTGAAAAGTGAGATCTGATTTGTTGTGTGTGTGTGTGTTTGGGAACAGGTGCAACTTCATTCCTGTTCACTGAGTACAGATACGTTGGTGTCTTCATGGTGTTCTTCGCTGGTATTATCTTTGTCTTCCTCGGCTCTGTGGAAGGATTCAGCACGGAGAACAAGCCTTGCACTTACGATGAGACCAAGACTTGCAAGCCTGCTTTAGCCACTGCAGCTTTCAGCACCATTGCTTTCATTCTTGGTGCAGTCACTTCTGTTCTCTCTGGTTTCCTTGGGATGAAGATTGCTACTTACGCCAATGCTAGAACCACTTTGGAGGCGAGGAAAGGTGTTGGAAAGGCGTTTATTGTTGCGTTCAGGTCTGGGGCTGTGATGGGTTTCCTTCTTGCTGCTAGTGGTCTGTTGGTGCTTTACATTACTATTAATGTGTTTAAGATCTATTATGGTGATGACTGGGAAGGTCTTTTTGAGGCTATTACTGGTTATGGGCTTGGTGGTTCTTCAATGGCTCTCTTTGGACGTGTTGGTGGTGGGATCTATACTAAAGCTGCTGATGTTGGTGCTGATCTTGTCGGTAAAATCGAGAGGAATATTCCTGAAGATGATCCAAGGAACCCAGCTGTAAGTACATCTCTTTTGCTTTTTTTATTTATTTTTGTCTATTTAAAAGTTTTTGACTTGATTTTTGTTGATTGTGTTATAGGTCATTGCTGATAATGTGGGTGACAATGTTGGTGACATTGCTGGTATGGGATCTGATCTCTTTGGTTCATATGCTGAAGCATCATGTGCTGCACTTGTTGTTGCTTCCATCTCTTCCTTTGGAATCAACCATGACTTCACTGCCATGTGCTACCCTTTGCTCATCAGTTCAATGGGTATCTTGGTTTGTTTGATCACAACTCTCTTCGCCACTGACTTCTTTGAAATTAAGGCTGTTAAGGAGATTGAGCCAGCGTTGAAGAATCAGCTCATCATCTCAACTGTCATAATGACTGTTGGTATTGCTATTGTTTCATATGTTGGGTTGCCTTCTTCCTTTACCATCTTCAACTTTGGAGCACAAAAGGTCGTCAAGAACTGGTAAGATCCTTTCTCTGCAAATCTAATGGTTGCTTTTGTTAGTGCATTATTCTAAACTTGGTGCACAATTTTGAATTACAGGCAGCTATTCCTGTGTGTTTGTGTTGGTCTATGGGCTGGACTCATTATTGGTTTTGTTACTGAGTACTACACTAGTAACGCCTACAGGTATGAACCTACTTTACTAGTTATGAATACTATTTTTCAACTAGTACGGCACTATCTAATGTTCTTGTTGTGTCCTTACAGCCCTGTGCAAGATGTTGCAGACTCATGCAGAACCGGTGCAGCCACCAATGTTATATTCGGATTGGCTCTTGGTTACAAATCAGTCATTATTCCAATCTTTGCTATTGCTGTCAGTATTTTTGTTAGCTTCAGCTTTGCTGCTATGTATGGTGTTGCCGTTGCTGCTCTAGGCATGCTCAGTACCATTGCTACTGGTTTGGCTATTGATGCTTACGGTCCCATCAGTGACAATGCTGGTGGTATTGCTGAAATGGCTGGAATGAGCCACCGTATCCGTGAAAGAACTGATGCTCTTGATGCAGCTGGTAACACCACTGCCGCTATTGGAAAGGTATAGGGAATTGCAAAACCTCTTTCTGCTTCTTGACTGCTTGTTCTATGTAAATGATTGTAATTCTGGTTTGTTTTGTACACAGGGGTTTGCTATTGGCTCTGCTGCTCTAGTCTCCTTGGCTCTATTCGGTGCCTTTGTGAGCCGTGCAGGTGTCCACACCGTAGATGTTTTGACTCCTAAGGTTATCATTGGGCTACTTGTAGGTGCTATGCTTCCTTACTGGTTCTCAGCCATGACAATGAAGAGTGTGGGAAGTGCAGCTCTTAAGATGGTTGAAGAAGTTCGCAGGCAGTTCAACACCATCCCTGGACTCATGGAAGGTACAGCTAAACCAGACTACGCCACATGTGTCAAGATCTCAACCGATGCATCCATCAAGGAAATGATTCCTCCTGGTTGCCTTGTCATGCTCACACCTCTCATTGTTGGTTTCTTCTTTGGTGTTGAGACTCTCTCTGGTGTTCTCGCTGGCTCCCTTGTTTCTGGTGTCCAGGTATATAATCTTCTCTCAGTTCTCTTGCGAGTAATGTTATTGAACATATATGCTCATCCACGTTCTTGTTTCATATAAAACAGATTGCTATTTCTGCATCTAACACTGGTGGTGCCTGGGACAATGCCAAGAAATACATTGAGGTACATAACTGATCTTTATTATAGGCTGAGACGATACTATTATTAGCGATGAAAGCAAGTCCTTAAGCGTTGAGAGTTGTTTTTTCAGGCGGGTGTATCAGAGCATGCAAAGAGTCTAGGACCAAAGGGTTCAGAGCCACACAAGGCAGCTGTGATTGGAGACACCATCGGAGACCCATTGAAGGATACATCCGGACCTTCGTTGAACATCTTGATCAAGCTTATGGCTGTTGAGTCTCTTGTCTTTGCTCCCTTCTTTGCCACTCACGGTGGTATCCTTTTCAAGTACCTCTAAACTCAACCCTGAGTGAAGAAGGAAAGATGATGATGAAGAAGATGTTTCGGGATTGATTCAAAACTCTCCCTTTTTTAGCATTCTTGTTTTCGTTTTGCGTAGGTGGTTAAAAGTTATGAAACATGTTTTTGTTGATGGGAGCTCATTTAAAGAACCAACCAGATGATGACACTCTCTCGCTTTATATCTTTTGTGCTGTCTAGAATTTAGAAAACCACCGTGTTTGAGACTTGTTTTTAGCTGTTACTTCTCCCTGTTTTGTTTTCTTATGTTGTTTTGGTCTTCTTCGAGACGAATGAGAATTGTCGGCTTTACGGCAGTGAAACCATTATTACGCAAACAACACAACGTTGGTTTCGAACTGAGATATAAAGGTTGGAGTCGAGTCTTCGTTGATTAATACTATAGGTTACGAGAAGTTGCTGGATTTGGTGGAGAATACGTCGAGTGATAGCTTTGAGCTTTACTATGGTTTGTGTTTAGTCAGAATGCACTTGAATGGGAGGTTGCATTAGGTTTACAGGAAGCAAATGTGTGGTGGGGATGTTCACTGGGCCAAGAAAACAGAGCAGAAGTTACTTAATAATGGTGTTGTTCTTTCCATAAAGACTCATCTTCATCATCACCATCTTCTTAAAATAATGTAGAGTTTGGTGGATTTTGTTAGAACCGATAAAAAAAAAGTTTCATTTTTGTGTTCATATCGTTCATGAAAAGAGTCTATTGACTAAGATAGAACACTTCTTGTTATGATCAAACCAAGCAAGCTCTGAAACCCATCTCTAACTCCTCCCTGTTCAAATTCTTGCCGATGAAAACAATCTTGTTGGTTCTTGTCTCATCTTTTTGCCATAACCGCTCTGGTGATCCTTCAAATATTTCATGAACTCCCTGTCCCAAACCATCGAAGACTCAGACGTCAGACAGAATTCTTCATCAAAAGCAGCATCCAACATTTGGAATAAAATTATGTTCGAAATAATGAAAAAGAGGAGTCACCTGAAACACGAATCTCTCGTCCATGTCTTGGACAGCGAGGATACCTTTCATTCTGTAGATATCCTCACTACGTTGGTACAACAGCGCCCCAAGCCACATGTTAGCCTGATCCATTGTCAAAAAGACTGAGGTTAGATAATGCAGGTAATAAAAAATGGCGCATATAATGTTATCATTATTGGGTTATACCTTCTGAAGGTCTAAGTCTCCTTCGCAAACTAAACTTACTGAAGAAACACCAGGGTCATGCGTATGATCATGAGAATCGTGATGCCCTGCGTATTCAGAAGCAAGCTAATTAGTATTAGGTTTGCGGCCTTTCTTTGGTAACAATATAAGCATACCGTGTTCATGATCATGGTTATTGTGGTGATCATGGCAGTCATGACCGTGGTCATGGTCATGATCATGGTGATCTTCTTTGTCTTCTTCATTCAAAGAGTTCTCAATTCTGGGAAGACAAAACAATTAGCCACCAGCAATAAACAAGAGTAACAAAACCAACTCTAAAGCAGGACTTCCACAACAATTAAACCCTAACAAATGCATAGAGCTACAATCAACTTCGGCAGGAAGAAACTGTCGGGATGACTCTCGTAATAAGATGACGTACCTTTCAAGATCAAAACCTCCAATTCCAAGAACATAATCCAAGTCAACCTTCCCATACTTTGTTCGCTTAATGTGAGCCATGCTGTTTATAGTCTGAAAATAACACACGGCATAGTTAACGCTAATACAGAGCAAATAAAATAAATAGATGTTCAGACAGAGAAAAAAATCCAGAAGTAAATACTTTTATTCGCTGCATCACTGAATCAAGTTCTTGCTCACCAACAAGATCAGTCTGCAACAAAACACAAACATTTTTCAAGCTTATATGTTATGCCGAGGAAGACAAATATATAGGAAGACTATAAAGAAGTTTCTACTACAAGCATCCACCCCACGTTTCAAAATGCAATTTTGAACTGGTAATGGTAACCATGAAAATTCAGCCGAAACAAGAAAAGAACCTCGAGATACCTTGTTAACTATGATACGATCAGCATAAGCAATTTGTTCAACTGCCTCATTGACAAATCCCTCAGGCTTAACCTCATCTAAATGCAAACGAGCATGTTTAGCATCAACCAGAGTAACAACTCCATCAAGTTTGACATCGTTAAAGATCTCATCCTCAGCATAAAAGGTTTGAATAATCGGCGCTGGATTCGCCAATCCTGAAAAATAAAAAATACCGTTACTCATTTGCAAAACCTGTAAGAAAACATTACTGAGTTCCTAAAGAAATAAAAGACAAAGAGAATGACAGAAACGATAACCGGACCTGTAGTCTCAATGACAATATGGTCAAACCTCCCTTTCTTCTTGTCAACCAATTCAGAAATCATCCTAACAAGATCACCCCTCACCGTACAACACAGACACCCATTGTTAAGCAATATAATATCCTCAGCTCCAGAAGTTTTAGCTGCCACAAGTGATCCATCAATGTCCACTTCACCAAACTGTCAAATTCAATTCACCACAATGTTAAGTAGAGTTTAAATAAAAACCATTTCTATTCAACTTTCTCAAACATAAAGACTAACACAAAATAATACCTCGTTCTCAATCACAGCTATACGCTTCCCGTGATCTCCCGTCAATATATGGTTTAGCAATGTCGTCTGCTCAAATTAGGAACAGTAAATTTCAAATGGAATAATATATTCAAAAAAAATTAAAACAAAGAAGGCTCACCTTACCAGAGCCGAGGAAGCCAGTGATTATAGTGGCGGGAATTCGATTGTCAGGGGTGAGATCAGTGGGAGCATCGAAGGGATCTTCTTCTTCGGTCTCCACAATAGCTAAGGAAGAAGAAGAGGCGAAGGTGGAGTTGAATCTCTGGCGGTTGGTAAGGTAAACAGCGGAGGAGGAGGAGGAATGGAATTGCGACGGTTTCGTTCTGACGGAAACTGTGGCTCTGCTGCGAGGAGGAGAAGCACGGGGAGTGGTGAAGGAGAGAGAAGTGGTGGGTATGTTGAGTCTAAGCAGCGTCGCCATTGTTGTTGTTGTTTAGGGTTTAAGGTATTATCGCCCTGAAGTGTTGTGGATTAGACATTTGCGCTTTGTAACTTCACTGGAAAGGTTTTTTTTCGGTTGGATTGGATCCAACGGTTTAGATTGACACGCGTTTTCCCACGTTTTTTTTTTTTTCCGGCTAAACTAGAATTTTATTAATTTTGAAAACATTGAGTTTAGTACAAGAACGAAATAACCAAATGAATACAAAGTCAATAGACAGAATTTCCGAAAAACATATTTTTGCATAAGCAGATATATGCGCCATTTGCTGAAGATGTTGGAACAAGAAAAGTGAATTTGACGATGCTTCCCGAAGTAAAGACTTATCCGCAAACAGAATTTTCATACTGTTATTTTCCTTCTCTTTAAACAAACTCCTTTTGATGCGAGTTGTGTATTTAGCTAGCAACTCATGGCTTAGACTCTTTGTTACACACAGCATAGTGAACCCAATGCTTCCGTTACTTGAAACTCTGTTTCTCCAAATGAATACCAACTCTTACGTATCCAACACCGTCTAACAGGGTTTTGCTTTGACTTTATTCTTCCATTTTGATCCCATTCAATATATACCTTGTTTAGATGTTGGTGTTGACCATCTCTCCAAATAAGAAAAAGGACAGCTTCCCTGTTCCTAAAGTATTTATTGTCTTTATTCCCAATGATGAAGTGGCTTTGGCAGTCCATACACGTTCCACTGTTTCCTTTAAACATCAATCTCTGCCATTCGAATGTACTCTTCGATTCACAAAACATAAATAAGACCGAGGAACAACTATCTTTGATTGCACAAAGCCATGAATCACTAGAATGATAGTCACTTCGATGCCTCTGAGAAACGCCTACATGGTGACTCACCGGAACCAACATAACTCGATCCAGTGTGACATACACCTCTCCATACAAGAAACCAGCGCAATCAATTGGTGAAGTAACAATGCGTTTCTCTATCGCACCTGGGTGAAAAGGAAACATAGTTTGTATCTCTAAAGTGCATCGCACACACTGAATATTACCCGGCCATGGCGACTTAAGATACCATTTTGATAACTGAAAACCACACAACTCGGAGTAATCCAGAGGAGAAAGAAAACTGCGTCCCAAGGACAACAGACAAACGCCAACACATACAGACCATCGATCATTGAGTGCCGGAACAGAACACTCCCAAAAGGAGACAAATACCACGCCATAAGCGACGGGAGACAACGCTGATAGCCACAGGAGATGAAACAGTGTTAATGTCACCGCTAGGGACATCGAAGACCGATCAAACTCACCATGAATCAGAAAATAATCTTGAGAAAATTGACATTGTTTGGAGGAAAGCAATCTCGCCAACATGGTGGAATAAAACCACTAAAACTGTAAATGTATAAACCACGAAGTACAAATAACAAAAAAAAGAAAGAAAATCCGGCGGCCTAAGCCGCCGGAAAAAACGAAAAAAGGTGAAGAAAAGTTTGTAACTGATTGCCTCTGAATCGCACTCGTAGGGAGAGAAAAACGGTTTCGTTTCGGTGAAAATTTAATTATACGCGTTTTCCCACGTTAATGAGAAATTATTCTTGAGATTAAAAATTACAATCCCCTATATTATTAATCGATAAACATTTGAAAAAAATGTAATCATAAGTTTGTATTAATTAAAACATAACCATATCCTATGTGATATATCTCATTCTAATTCAATTTAGAAAGATTCTAGAACATCATATATATATTTTAGTCAAAAAGTTATACTCTTTATCAATATAATATTTTGCAAGCTATAATTGGCATATATCAAATCCTCTATATATTATTTGAGAATCATTTAAAAAGTTGTAACCTTAAGTTTGTAAGAATTAAAAATAACCCCAATCCTATGTGGCATAGCTATATGGCTTCTATTTCAAATCTCAAGGATTCTAGAGCATGTGATATAATGTATAGTCTAAAAATTATATTCTCTAGCAATATAACATTTCGTAGACTATAGTTGGTCGCATATATCAAATATTTATTGTTTCGCATGTTTTCCTTAAATAAAACATATGAAATTACCTAATGTAATTAAAATATATATATGACAATTAATGATTTTAAACAATAAAGATTTGATAACAGTTTGTATATTTTTTCTCATTTTGTTTATTTATTATTATTAAAATAAATTACACAATTACATTAATCATATAATAAAAATCTAGATTTTTTTTTTGTGTATGTTGTATTTCGAATTTTTCAAAATGAGTATAAATTACTAAAATTGTTAAAAGTCTCACATAAACTTTTAGGATCAAGGTTTTAATTTGTTTTCTATATTAAAATATAATGATTATAAGACCATATGAATAAATAATTTTAGTTTATATATATATTTCATATTGTTTTAATTAAACTATAAATCGTATGAAAATACATACTTATATTTTGATTGTCTTCAACATATATTGAAAATTTAATATTTTAATTTTGAAATATGTCATTTTTAAAAAAAAATTATTATAAATTATTGAAACTACTAAACATCTCACATTTAAAAAAATCGTTGGTGTAAAATTTTATTACACAAATATGCAAATAATCATAAAATCACATGAGTAGAAACCTCATTTAATAAATATCAATATTAAAAGTGTGCCATATTACAATGTTTATATCATTTAAATTTAATTATATATCATATACAATATATAAGATTGATTATTTTGATTTATTTACGCTAATTGCGAATAAACAAGAGTGATATTAAATTTATATGCATACGTCAATTTATTACATAATAGTAACTGATTTCTTAGTTATGTAATATATATATTTATTATTTTATGATATGCAGAAAATTATAAAATAAATTATAAATATAAAATACTTATTGTGCATAAAGTGCAGATCTTAACCTAAGTATGTATCTTTTTAATTATTTTAAATCTTAAGTATTTTCTAAATACCATGTCAAAACAAATAAACAAAATGAGAATAAACTTCAAAATCAATATTTATATCGAGTAATAACCAAAATAGAAAAAAATACAACAAAAGAAAAAATTGAAGATAAATAGGATTAACACGTGAACGTAAACTTCTCAGAATCATAATTAATTTTTAAATTGTTAAATCATGATATAAAACTGAGTTAATTTTTAATTTGTTAATTTTTAATTTTTTAATTTTTTAAATTATTATGGTTATGTTAAATCATGACCATAATTAATTTTAAATTTTTTTATTTGTATTTGATAAACTTAAAATATTGTTTTTAAAAATAATTAAAATTTAACTTAATTTTTATAAAATTATATAAAAATAATAATTTGTAAAAATATAGTTTTCTAATATTATTATACAAATAAATAAATTATATTAAATTAGTTTTGAAACTTTATATATTTTAAATACAATTTTTTTTGTACCAACTACTTCTTAAAAAAACATTAGGAAATTTGCTAATACTCTACTAATCAAGCCCAATGACACTCTGTTTATTTTTCCATAACTCGAACACTAAAAAGTGAAAAGATATATGAAATCGGGTCCATTAAATTCTAAGATTTGATCTACAATTCTAATTACAATTGTTTCTGATCCTACGTATAGATAATTATTTAAAAATACCAGAATTCTAAAATTTTAAATACATATAAAAATAATTATATGTAAATTTTAAATTTATCAATACTAAAATTTTATATTTTAACTACGTATATTCACCCTGCGCAAGGCGCATGTCTTATCCTAGTATTTATTCTTTCACAGACGTTTTTTATATAAAATTTGCGGATTTATCTAATGTGATTAAAATATATATATAACAATTAATTTTTTTAAACAATAAATTATTTTGATAACCATCTGTAAACTTTTGTTTATTTATTTATTATTAAAATAAATTACACAACTACATTAGTCATATAATAAAAATCTAGATTTTTTTATGTATGTTGTATTTCAAATTTTTTTAAACGAGTATAAATTACTAGAACTGCTAAAAGTCTCACATAAGCTTTTATGATCAAGGTTTATTTTTTTCTATATTAAAATACAATGATTAGAAGATCATATGAAGAAATAATTTTATTTTAATAGGTTTTATGTTACTATATATATAATTATATTTCATATCCTTTAAATTAAAATATACATCATATGAAAATACATACTTATACTTTGATATTTATATTGAACATATATTGAAAGTTAATATTTTAATTTTGAAATCTGTCATTGTTTTTTTAATGATTATAAATTATTCAAAACTACTAAAACATCTCACATTAAAAAACATTTTGTTGGTGTAATTTTTTTTTAAATAATCATAAAATTATATGAGTAGAAATCTCATTTAATAAACATCCATATTAAAAATGTGCTATATATCTATGTTAATATCATTAAAATTTAATTATATATTATATACGATAGATAAGATTGTTTGTTTTGATTTATTTACCCTAATTGCAAATAAACAAGAGTGATCGTTAGATTTATACGCACAAGCCAATTTTTCATATAATAGTAGCTGAGTTTTTAGTTATTTAATATATATACTTATTATTTTATTAATTTATAATATGCAGAGAAACCTAAAATAAATAATGAAAATAAAATTTTTATTTTACAAAACGTACAGATCTTAACTTAAGTATGTATCTCTTTAACTATTTTAAATCTTAAGCATTTTATAAATCTCAGACCAAAACAAAAAAAAAACGAAATGAGAATAAACTTCAAAATCAATATTTATATCGAACAATAACCAATATGAAAAAGACACAAAAAGAGAAAAATATTGAATATAGATTGGACTGGCACGTAAACGTAAACTTCTCATAACCATAATTAATTTTTAAATTGTTAAATCATGATATAAAACCGAGCTGGCATAGTTTCATTGTGACCAAATAGAACTGAGATTTTTCGAACTAAACGTTAGGTTCTTTGCAGTAACTGATATTTTGACCTAAATCATTTTTAAAAATGAGATCAGCTCATCAGTAAATAAATTATGTAATTGACAAAAACTTTTTTAAAAATGTCTAAAGACCAAAAGATTAATTCAATCAAGAATATATCTATTTTTCTATATAATTATTTTATTTAATTTTTATATAAATTTATCACGCGCAAGGCGCAAGTCTTATTCTTGTGTACATATATAGCAATTATAGTTAATTAACTATAAACATACAAAGTTAAATTAGACATGCTTAAAAGTTTACATTGATCTTAATTAGTTTGTTGAATATAAATGTTACTTTAAAATTAAATATGCTTAAAAATTTACATTGATCTTAATTAGTTTGTTGAATATAAATGTTACTTTAAAGCTTTCTTGTTTTACTTCTTATGTCTTTTTAATATTTTCCTAGTCTTAACAAGTAACCTATGATTCTTTAGTTTATTACATCTAGTAATTTACTCAGTATCTCCATTTCTAAACAGTAAAAATCATATGTAACAGAGAAACATCATATCACGAAAAGCAAATCAAGAGAAAAAGTAATTAAGTGATCAAAGTTATAAAAGTTAATTATTAACTTTTTAAATTGAGATTATGTTATCTTTGCTACTTATATGTATGAAAGTATACCTGTTAAATTTATATGCATGACATAAATGATAATCTCACATTAGAGTTGGAAAACAATGAAAAATCCAACAAATACTTGTATTGCCATGTTAATTTCAAAACATGATAGTAAACAAATTTTATCATCATAGCAAACATGTGAAAAATGAGAACTGCAAACACTGAAATAATACAAACATTGTAGCTGCTACTATGTACCTCTGTTCATTTTGGTTTGTGTTCGGATCGTTGTTAATTTCGGTTCGTAATAGTTTAGTTCGTGTTCACATCGTTGTGGTTTCGTTTCGTGGAGACATCCACTTAAATGATGTAAACAAATTCGAAAATGCCAATCTACCTTAAAATCAAAAACTAAAAAATTATTCAGCTAAACCATGATAAGTTTGAATAATGTATGCTAAATGTCTAAAATTATCATGAAGATTGGTTCAATCGAGAACTCGTAGGTATTTATGAGTGATTTAAATATTTTGGATATTTTCAGATATTTAATTTTAACTTTTTTAAAATATTTTGAATGATTATGAGTATTTTTTGATATTTTAGATTTTTAATATATTAAATCAATATGATAACATATATATAAGTATATAATCATGATTCTGGTATTATATCACATTTGAGGTCGGGTTCATATCCGGGCTTTATATACCAAAATTTGGAATTATTCAAATATTTTACTAATCCCAGCTTGAATTTAGTACAATTTTTACGTAAGATCTGGTTTGTTTTAAATTTAATTTTTTGTTTCACATCTGGTTTGAATTTGATCTGTTTTTGGCTTGGATCTGCATGTGATTTTGTTATCGAAAATGAAAATCTAAGTTAATGTCTAGGTAGCTCTTGAACCGCTTCCCAAATAAAAGGGTACTATTCAAAATATCCATCACTCATGTTTAGAGAGCCTTATTACATAGAGTGGTTTGATCTCAAAATTAAAAGGGTAAAGATGTGAAACTGAACCAGTTTTACTTGAACCAATAAGGAGCGAAAGTTATGGTACGAAGCTGAAACTGGATGTTGGGTTGGTGGTTTCACACAGTCGAACGATGGATGATTAAAAAACTACCTTCGAAGTCAGAATCGTTGACAATCTCGACATCGATCTAGTCTTTCCCGATAGCCATCCTCCTTCGGAATAGGAGAATACCAACCTCAAAATCTATCTGAATGCTGCCTGCGGTCCACCGGTTTTTATCAAAGTTATGCAAGTTGTCTACTCTCCAGAGGCCTTCCGTGTTAGACGGTATTAGATGTGGGTTAAGCTAGAAAAATATTCTTTTATGTTGTTTTTTCACATCTTCTATCCATTGATGAAGAAGAATTCCAACACAAAGAAATGGAAAAGCAAAGGAGGTCCTCGATATGAATATTCTCTAAATCGTAATGAGTGATTTAGTTAGTTTAAGTTTTGTATCGCTTTGCTATGATCTATATGTGTTTTTGTTGATTTTGAGCTCTTGCAAGTTAGTGATGCATTAACAAATCATACCTATATGACATATATTACTCATATTGCATGTCTAATACCTATATATAATTAGTTTATGCATTATCACTAATGATAATTATGATTAGTTAAATGGAAATATTGAATGATTTTACAAAAAAAAACAAGAAAATTTGAATACAACCATCAAATTACTAAAATAAAAACAACAAAAGACATTATTTAATATTTCATTTTTTATCTATGCGTTATTAAGTTTGAAACATTTTCTTTAAGTATAGAATAAACAAATTGTAAAAAATTGAATTGATTTTAAATTGTAAATATATCATTATATTAGTTATTGTGCTAGGGTGCAGGTTATCACCTAGTAATGAAATTAAATGTTTAAATTCACAGGAATTGTAAGTATTTAATCATGTTCTAGTCTATAATAATAATTCCCAAACAACCGAATAGCAACTGTAGATTAAGAAGCTTTTTTTGTTTGGTTTAAGAACATCTCGAATGTAATACTCTATTTTTTCCTCCAAAATGGAGTAAAGATGGATATGAAGTAGAAATACTTCATCTCTACTCCATATTTTACTCTATAATGGAGTAATGAACAAAAAATAATAATAGATTATTTCATTTATGGAGTAAACTCTATTATGTAATTAAAAATGAAGTTGGATGATTAAAAATGAAGTTGGATTGGAGTGTTTTTTACTTCATACTCCTTTTTTACTTTATTTTGGAGTAAAAATTAGAGTTGGATTGAAGAGGCCTTAAGAAACTTTACAATATCTAAGACTAGAGAGATTCTATGATGATGTTGTTAATTTAAAGTTTCAATTGACAATATCTAAGACTAGAGAGACTCTATGATGATGTTGTTAATTTAAAGTTTCAAAGCTTCAAAGTATTAAGTATGCAGTTATCACTAACAAAATCCACCCAAGTATAGTTCCCATTCTCGCAGAATCACTGACCAGAAAAGAGTCTACAAGTGTTGTGGCTTCTTATCACTTAAAACACTAGTCTGCACATGATCATTGATTAGTGCTCTTGTTATAAGAAAAATATAACCAACTCAAAATGGTATTCTTATAACCCCATAAATTAAATCTCAATTGTGTTAACAAAATATCTTAATCAGAATAGTTCCTTGCGTGCTTCCAAACCATATACAAGGCGTGAAGAAGAAGCATAGTCCTGAATCTAGTTATATGATAAACAAAAAAAACAAATCAATGACGATAATTTATGATGCTAGCTTTGAGAACTAGTCTTGTTAGCAAATTGTATACTGTATTGATATCAGTAGAACTGTGGAAGATAAGCTGACTGAATTATTTAGGCTGATCCAAAACTACTTTGAACATTCAAAAGCTAGAAATACAATAAGAATTCAAAGGTTGAGTTTGTTGATTAATTTTTGGTGCTGATGTTAATTGATCTATTTAAATACTTTTTGTTTTCTGAAAACAAATAAATAAATACCTGAAAATTCAAGTCTGGTGGGACCCACACTCTCTTCTTTATTCCTCCATCTTATCTCAAAACGCAATTGATTGTTCCAAACCTAACTCCGTACCACCTCAAAGGTGATTCACCTTACACGTGTCATACATTGGAAGGTTCCAAACCAGGCTCGGCTCACGGCCACTTTGCACATTTCTACACTCATCTCTCTTTCTTCCTCCCTCACCGTCTCGTCAATATCACAACAACAAACAACAACAAAACGTTTTGATCAAAAGAGAAACACTGTTAAACCCTCACAAAACTTCATCCAAAACACGATCGATCTCCGACATGATTAGGTACGTATCTGCTCTGATGGTAAAAACCGATCAAAACAAAAACAAAAACAAACTGTTTCCTTGTTAACCGTTTCTTTATACTTCTTCCTTTTACTTTCTTTGATTATTAAGCTAATAAAATGTTTTACTTTGATGTGATCGTGTCTGAACTATTTAGACCTTTCTTGTAGTAATGATTCACACTTATCTGAACTGTTAGATCACTGCTTGTGCTTGTGTTCTGTCCGATTTGATCACTACCTCGTACGAGTTTCTTTAACTGTCTTTTTGTTTCAAATGATCATTGAAAGGCAGTGTCTTTGACTGAGAAAGTAAATATTTTATTTATGCTCTGTTTCAGTCTCTGAAAGAGGTTGATGATATTGGGTTACTTCATCATGGGAGGAGCTTGTTCAAGGAAGAGAGATCAACAACATGTTGAGGATATTTTAAACAGAGGCGTCTCTGGAAAGTATAACAAGAGTTCAAGTTCTAAATGGTTAGCTACTTCCCTCTCTAGGTCTGCCTCCTTGGGTGTTAAACGGAGTAATGGAGAGTGCCCTTCGCTTTTAGAGCTCTGTATCCGCAAGATACAAGAGGTATAATTTTTACGCTAGTGAGGCTGTAATTTTTTGTTTTATTATTCGCTAACGAAATGTTTGAAATTTGATGCATTACCAGGACGTGGATAGATACACCACATTCTCAGACCTACCAAGAGATATAAGTCAGCAGATTTTTGATGAGTTGGTGTGTTCCCAACAGTTAACTTTAAAGTCTCTTGAGGCATTTCGTGACTGTGCAATTCAGGTGAAGTCCTTGGTGTTTGTTTCTCTTGTTAGTCTTGTGGTTATCTTTGGCTGACTTACAGTTTTTGAAAACAGGATCTTAACTTGGGAGAGTACCCTGGAGTTAGTGATGAATGGATGGATGTCATCTCCTCGCAAAGTACATCACTGCTTTCTGTTGATTTCTCGGGTTCTGATATCACAGACTCTGGTCTGGTTTCTTTAAAAGGTTGCAAGAACTTGGAATCTTTAAACTTTAATTTCTGTGACCAGATATCAAACCGCGGTCTGGAGCATCTTAGCGGTAAACTTTTCTCATCTCTATGAAAGCAATGTCTTATACTATTTTTCTCTCCTTGTACTCTGTATTTAGATGTTTACTGTAAAAGTTGAATGATAACTATCGACACACAATTTCAGGACTCTCAAACTTGACAAGTCTAAGCTTTAGAAGAAATGCTGCAATCACTGCACAAGGGATGCGTGCCTTTTCCAACTTGGTTAACATGAAGAAACTAGATCTTGAGAAGTGTCCTGGGATTCACGGTGGGCTTGTTCACCTGCGAGGTAAAATAGTTACATGCTTTATTTTGTGTGTTTCTGTCATCAAATGTTATTGAGAGCTCTACATGTCATGTGCACACTCATGGACTAATCCAAAGCTAGGTGGTTTATGATTCCATTTGACTAAGCAATGTCTTTTCTTCCATCCTCTTTAGCTTCACCGTAATTTTCTATTTCCAGGTTTAACAAAATTAGAGTCTTTGAACATAAAGTGGTGTAACTGCATAACGGATGCAGACATGGAGCCTATCTCAAGTAACAAGAACATGCCCCTCCTTCGCATATTTTTTTTGTACTTTATCCAATAGATGTGCTTATTATTTCTTGCTTCAGAGCTTACAAATCTGAGGAGCTTACAGATTTGCTGTAGTAGGATTACCGATTTTGGTATCAGCTACCTTAAAGGTACTTGATTGTTTTTAAAAAAAAAATTATTTTACTCCTGTTTCCACTATTTGTCTCACATCTTCTCGAAGTACCTTATCCTTTTGAGCTCATTTGCTCCACATTCTTGCTTCAGGACTAAACAAGCTTAATTTATTGAACTTGGAAGGGTGCCGTCATGTTACCGCTGCATGCCTGGAGACGCTCACAGGTTTGTATAGCCATCCTTGCATTGTCTCCGTGATTTTCCAGTTAATTGGATGTACGAACTAATACGGGCCTTCTTCTGCTTACTATAGCTCTTAAAGAGTTGATGTTCTTGAACCTCAATAGATGCAATCTTTCAGACAGTGGATGTGAAAAGTTTTCTGGTTAGTCTTCCTCATGCTTGTTTTACTTTGCGAAAAACACTGCAATTCTCTGCGGGTGGATGACTTTGTTCGACACACCTCTGCAGATTTAATTAATTTGAAGATTTTGAACTTGGGAATGAACAACATTACAAACTCATGCTTGGTCCACCTGAGAGGTTTTCTCACTTTCTTATTCCCTTATTTTTTGTATGTTTGTTCCATCTCTATTCACCATATCATGGTTTCTGAGAACTGACATAGAATACCTTCTCAGGTTTGACAAAGTTGGAGAGCTTGAACTTGGATTCTTGTAGAATTGGTGATGAAGGATTGGTACATTTATCAGGTGATTGCTTACTTCCATTTCTTGCTCTTATCACGGATTCTTGTATTCAAAATATACTGCTGTGGTTTTAGGTATGCTTGGGCTGAAATCGCTGGAACTATCCGATACTGAAGTAGGAAGCCATGGGCTTCGCCATCTCTCTGGTAAAACATTTTCCCTTCCTTTTTCCTTTCCTTTTAGTATCTTTTGTGTTCTTTGGTCTATGCTCACTGCATATAATCTAGATATTAGTGCTGATTTTGCGCATTTATGTTACAATATAGGTCTCTTGAACCTGGAGAGCATAAACCTGTCGTTCACTGTTGTCACCGATAGCGGGTTAAGGAAACTATCTGGTTTGACATCTCTTCGAACACTGAATCTGGATGCCCGTCATGTCACTGATGCTGGGCTCTCTGCGCTCACGAGTAAGCCATTCCAATGCTTTCAGTCCATTAACTGTGACCATCAACAAGTTATTTGGCTTTGTATGATGATGTCACTGGTTAAGAGCAAAAGCTAAACTGTCTTGTCTGTTTTTGTTCTAGGTTTGACTGGATTGACTCACCTTGATCTCTTCGGTGCTCGTATCACAGACTCTGGAACAAATCATCTACGAAGTAAGCTTTCATTGCTTACTAGATACACTCATCTTTTACTACTTCCTAAAACTGTTTTGTTGGTTTTCTTTTTGATACAGACCTGAAGAAACTACAGTCACTTGAGATATGTGGCGGTGGATTAACTGATGCTGGTGTCAAGAACATAAAAGATCTTTCATCCCTCACACTCCTCAATCTATCACAAAACTCGAACCTCACAGACAAAACACTCGAGTTGATTTCCGGTAAAGATTCATAACGGTCGTTTCTTGAATTCATCAAATATACGTTCTTGAAACCTGAACCATGATCTTGTTTAAAACCGCAGGGTTGACCGGATTGGTCTCTCTAAACGTCTCAAACTCTCGAGTATCAAACTCAGGACTACGCCACCTGAAGCCATTGAAGAGCCTGAGATCTCTGACCTTGGAGTCCTGCAAGGTCTCTGCTAACGACATCAGGAAGCTTCAGGCAACCGATCTGCCAAACCTAGTCACCTTCCGTCCTGAATGAAATAATTTGTCAAATGACAAATTCAGAATCTCTGTAAATAGATCGATCTCTTATGGTTTCAGACAAAGTCACCTGTCTTCTTTGTATATATATGGAGTCCAAAACAAATGCTCTTCTTCGAATTAATTACAGAAGAAACTGTAAATAAAGCTTTCACAAGCTATGGTTTGGACAAAAGAGTCTTTGTTGCTCTTCTATGTTGTCAGCTTTTGTAAATCTATGTAAGATTCTTATGTAAAAATTTATTGTTTCTGGCACTTAAGTAAATCTTCTAAAGGTCAAATTTCAGATAAGGAAAAGAGAGAAACAACACTACCACTAAATTACTGTAAAATGATATGTTACATCTAAAAACATGTCAGAATACTTGGGTCACAAGTCTTTCAACCAAAAAAAACAAAAGAGAAAGACTTAAAAAGGGAAGACAGAATAGGAGAGATCAGATCATCTCTGTGGCTGATCAGAGGCAGAGGCTCCAGCAGCTGGTGCAGCTGCTGCGTTGCTCGCTGATCCGTTCTCAGCAGGTGGAGCCACTCCCCATTTACCTTCAGACTCAACCGGTTCGAATATATGAACTCCTCCGTCTGAGAGTCCAACCGCAAACATGTTTGGTTCTTGCGGATGTGCAGCAATCACCAGTGGATGTACGTTCGAGTTACTGCACAAATGAACAAGTAAAAGCTTCATCAAGATTCCTGTAAGATTCCTTTTGAAAGAGAGTTCAAGATTCTTCTGTTGTTTACCTGAGACTAGCTGGTAGATAAGCAGAAGGGTTGACTCGGCAACGCAGTCGCAGATTTGCAGAGCTAAATACACAGATCGTTGCATCCATAAAACTTGCATAGACCAGTTGGCTATCACATGAGAACGTGGCATGAGTGATAGGAGCTGATGATTCTCTCACTGGCCACTGAAACAAGTCAACACAATCATTAATCAAATGCAATACATTATAGATCTTAGAGAGTTCTCTTGGACTGTAATTAAGATACCTGTTTCATGCATTCGAGCTTGGTTGTTTCATAAATAGCAAGCTGTGTCTCGTGCACCACGAGGAAGTGAGCTTGATCTTGGTGGAACTGAACACGCGTGTCTGAAGGTGCAGTGTTTGGTCTTCCCTGTGGAAGTGGCAGAACCTTGCTTCTTTGCTTCTCCCATCCATCTGTGTTCCAAACACAAAGCTGCAACCAAAAAAGACAAAACCGAATCGTTTAAACAAACCTTAATCTCAACCTCATTGGTTTTCAACAAAAGAAGATGGTTTTAAGGTAGGAACCTGAGCATCTGCTCCAGACGAAACCAGCACATTCAACACATTGGAGAAGGCAAGACCAGTTATTCTCTTTGAATGACCTTTAAGCTTACTCTTCACCTGCACGATCAATGAAGGAACATGTTGAGCATCATATCAACAAACCGAACACTGCTTCTTCTCTAAGTTCTTATCAAGAGATTTCCATTCATTACCTCATCAACACGGACGTTATAAATCTGAATCGTACTATCATCCATTCCAATAGCAATGATATTGTTGTCTTGAGGGTGGAAAGCAAGAAACGTTGCAGCAGGTGGTGGTGGCATGAACGTAGCCATCGTCTGCAAATCATTAGCCAAGAACAGTCAAGTCAAAATGCATACACAAAACATCAAAACCTTAAACATCTGTTTCTCCCCATTACCTTAAACGTCATCATGTTAAACAAGGAGATCTTTCCTCCAGAGGCTGACATTACATATGAATCATTCTTGGATAAAGCAAAACAAGGTACAGCTTCCTCTGGATTGTTTTCAGCAGCGTCGTTAGTCATGAGGATTCCACTTGCTGGTTGCCATTGCTGAGGTGGTAAAGAAGCTGTCGCCTACAAGAATGAATCATAATGTAGACATCAGTGATAAATCATCATGATTTGATTAAGCAAGTGAGAGACTCAGCTTCACCTTTCCAGTTGCGTTGCGGTCATTCCGCTGCCATTTCCATAGAAGATGAATAGCGTTTGATGCCAAGGCCAAGATAGCGTTTCCTGAGTTCGTGAAAATCAATCTTGATATCTGCAAAAGGTCATTATTTTATCATCAGAACCTATATATGTATAGCCTGTGTACATGATCAGAAAATGTATGTTTATGTACCTTAGCAACTCTCAGATTCTCAGGGAGTCTCAGTGACCTGCATTGAGAAGGCTCGCTGACTTCAGTAAGCTTCCATATCTTAGACTTATCATTTGGTTCTTCTGTAATCACTGGCTTCACATCCACCATGTTCCTCGAATCTCCATTCTACAAAGAGGAAGTAATCATGAGTGATGGAAAGATAAAAATTGAAATAAGTCAAAATAAACATACCATTCCTTGGATGGAAACTACATTGGTTGATCGATCTGTGACTCCAGTACTCGTAGCTGCAGCAGCTGCTGCTGCAAGGCTGCTTATAGCAGGCTGCAAATTTATAAATGGAAGTGTTAAAGAAACTTTCAACCGCGCATAATAAGTGATATAAAGCTTAGGTTAGAGTTTAAGTACCTTGGAGGGTTCAGATGAAATGTTCTCAAAAGTGTGTAACAGTCTTAAACCATCTGAGTTTGCCATAACCTTGATCACATTCTCGTTTCCAGACACGGCCAAGAGAGAGCCTTCCTTGTTAAACCGGATACGCGGGCTTGCCTGGAGACCTCCATCGCCATCAATGGCAGTTAAAAGCTGTACATTGTCCATATCCCAGAACTTGATGGAGAAGTCATCACCAGCAGCTAGATAACGGTTTTTAGTTGTATCAAACTGCACAACACCGAGAGAACGCTTGTGGAATCCTTGATAAGTTCTTTTAACAGCTCCTTCACTTTCATTCCACTCAACTATGTAAGACTCTCCATCTTTACTCGTTCCACAAGAGAACAGCCTAGTTCCATCTGCACTATAAGCCATTGTAGTACACCAGCGACCCGGTGCATCATAGTCTACTCTAGAACCCATGTTGTCATACAACCATGCCTTGATTTTTCCATCGAGAGCTGTTGAGAATATGAACTGAAGACAAGAAGAAAATCAATAAACTAGAACATGTAAGGGAAGGGATGGAGATTAATTGATAGCTTACCTGAATGTTTTCCTTGTAGTGAGGACAGACAGAGTAAACAGGAGCTTCATGGCCTTCAAAAGTATGTCTTTTGACACCAGTTGCAGCGTCCCAGACCTTGATGGTTTTGTCATCACCACAGGTTATTACACACAGTTGCTTGTTTGGAGTCGAGAAGGAAATATCATTCACACCACCAACATGAGCATCAATCTGAAACACAATCACAATATTATTAGACAATCTCCAATGAAAGAATGTCTAAAAGAATAGGCTTGTCAGTGTTATGAGACCTCAAGGTGTTGCCTCATGTCTTCACCACCATGATAAGAGTACAGTTGTACAATATGTCTCGAGTAAGCAACTCCTGCATTTGAGAACGTAAGTCAAAGTTATATAGTTGCGTTCTTGCGCACATATGAGTTTAAAGATGGATTCTTTTACCGAACAATGAACCGTCAGGGCTCCATATCACACGGTTCACAGATACAACAGGTTCTTTCACCAGAGCAGCCTGTAAGGGCATTGAGCATTTGCTTATATCCCAGACTTTGAAGGTCTTCTGTACTAATCTTTCACGAGAGCCAACTTGGTTAACATGAAGAAACTAGATCTTGAGAAGTGTCCTGGGATTCACGGTGGGCTTGTTCACCTGCGAGGTAAATAGTTACATGCTTTATTTTCATTTCTTGTGTGTTTCTGTAATCTCATGTTATTGAGAGCTCGACATGTTATGTGCACACTCATAGACTAATCCAAAGCTAGGTGGTCTATGATTCCATTTGACTAAGCACTGTCTTTTCTTCAATCCTTTTTAGCTTCACCGCAATTTTCTATCTTTTCCAGGTTTAACAAAATTAGAGTCCCTGAACATAAAGTGGTGTAACTGCATAACCGATGCAGACATGGAGCCTATCTCAAGTAACAAGAACATGCGCCTCCTTCACATATATATATTTTTTTGTACTTCATCCAATAGATGTGCTTATTATTTTTTTGTTCGACACACCTCTGCAGATTTAATTAATTTGAAGATTTTGAACTTGGGAATGAACAACATTACAAACTCATGCTTGGTCCACCTGAGAGGTTTTCTCACTTTCTTATTCCCTTATTTTTTGTATGTTTGTTCCATCTCTATTCACCATATCATGGTTTCTGAGAACTGACATAGAATACCTTCTCAGGTTTGACAAAGTTGGAGAGCTTGAACTTGGATTCTTGTAGAATTGGTGATGAAGGATTGGTACATTTATCAGGTGATTGCTTACTTCCATTTCTTGCTCTTATCACGGATTCTTGTATTCAAAATATACTGCTGTGGTTTTAGGTATGCTTGGGCTGAAATCTCTGGAACTATCCGATACTGAAGTAGGAAGCCATGGGCTTCGCCATCTCTCTGGTAAAACATTTTCCCTTCCTTTTAGTATCTTTTGTGTTCTTTGGTCTATGCTCACTGCATATAATCTAGACATTAGTGCTGATTTTACGCATTTATGTTACGATATAGGTCTCTTGAACCTGGAGAGCATAAACCTATCATTCACTGTTGTCACCGATAGCGGGTTGAGGAAACTATCTGGTTTGACATCTCTTCGAACGCTGAATCTGGATGCTCGTCATGTCACTGATGCTGGAATCTCTGCGCTCACGAGTAAGTCATTCCCATGCTTCTCGCTTCAGTTCATAAACTGTGTGACCATCAACAAGTTATTTGGCTCTGTATGATGATGTCACTGGTTAAGAGCAAAAGCTAAACTGTGTTGTCTGTTATTGTTCTAGGTTTGACTGGATTGACTCACCTTGATCTCTTCGGTGCTCGTATCACAGACTCTGGAACAAATCATCTACGAAGTAAGATTTCATTACTTACTAGATACTCATCTTCTTCTGCTCCAAACTGTTTTGTTGGTTTTCTTTTTGATACAGACCTGAAGAAACTACAGTCACTTGAGATATGTGGTGGTGGATTAACTGATGCTGGTGTCAAGAACATTAAAGATCTTTCATCCCTCACACTCCTCAATCTATCACAAAACTCGAACCTCACAGACAAAACACTCGAGTTGATTTCTGGTAAAGATTCATAATGGTCGTTTCTTGAATTCATCAAACATACGTACTTGAAACCTGAACCATGATCTCGTTTAAAACCGCAGGGTTGACCGGATTGGTCTCTCTAAACGTCTCAAACTCTCGAGTATCAAACTCAGGACTACGCCACCTGAAGCCATTGAAGAGCCTGAGATCTCTGACCTTGGAATCCTGCAAGGTCTCTGCTAACGACATCAGGAAGCTTCAGACAACTGATCTGCCAAACCTAGTCACCTTCCGTCCTGAATGAAATAAATATTTATCAAGTGGCATCACAATCTCTGTAAATAGATCGATCTCTTATGGTTTCAGACAAAGTCACCGTCTTCCTTGTATATGTATGGCGTCCAAAACTTGTGCTCTTCTTCGAATTTAATTGCAGAAGAAACTGTAAATAAAGCTTTTACAAGCTATTGTTTGGACAAAAGAGTCTTCGTTGCTCTTCTATGTTGTCAGCTTTTGGAATCTGATCGCGCTTGTAAATCTATGTAAGATTTTTATGTAAATTATTATTGTTTCTGGCACTTAAGTAAATCTTCTAAAGGTCAAATATCAGATAAGGAAAAGAGAGAAACAACACTACCACTAAATTACTGTAAAATGATATGTTACATCTAAAAACATGTCAGAATACTTGGGTCACAAGTCTTTCAACCAAAAAAAACAAAAGAGAAAGACTTAAAAAGGGAAGACAGAATAGAAGAGATCAGATCATCTCTGTGGCTGATCAGAGGCAGAGGCTCCAGCAGCTGGTGCAGCTGCTGCGTTGCTCGCTGATCCGTTCTCAGCAGGTGGAGCCACTCCCCATTTACCTTCAGACTCAACCGGTTCGAATATATGAACTCCTCCGTCTGAGAGTCCAACCGCAAACATGTTTGGTTCTTGCGGATGTGCAGCAATCACCAGTGGATGTACGTTCGAGTTACTGCACAAATGAACAAGTAAAAGCTTCATCAAGATTCCTGTAAGATTCCTTTTGAAAGAGAGTTCAAGATTCTTCTGTTGTTTACCTGAGACTAGCTGGTAGATAAGCAGAAGGGTTGACTCGGCAACGCAATCTCAGATTTGCAGAGCTAAATACACAGATCGTTGCATCCATAAAACTTGCATAGACCAGTTGGCTATCACATGAGAACGTTGCATGAGTGATCGGAGCTGATGATTCTCTCACTGGCCACTGAAACAAGTCAACACAATCATTAATCAAATGCAATACATTATAGATCTTAGAGAGTTCTCTTGGACTGTAATTAAGATACCTGTTTCATGCATTCGAGCTTGGTTGTTTCATAAATAGCAAGCTGTGTCTCGTGCACCACGAGGAAGTGAGCTTGATCTTGGTGGAACTGAACACGCGTGTCTGAAGGTGCAGTGTTTGGTCTTCCCTGTGGAAGTGGCAGAACCTTGCTTCTTTGCTTCTCCCATCCATCTGTGTTCCAAACACAAAGCTGCAACCAAAAAAGACAAAACCGAATCTTTTAAACAAACCTTAATCTCAACCTCATTGGTTTTCAACAAAAGAAGATGGTTTTAAGGTAGGAACCTGAGCATCTGCTCCAGACGAAACCAGCACATTCAACACATTGGAGAAGGCAAGACCAGTTATTCTCTTTGAATGACCTTTAAGCTTACTCTTCACCTGCACGATCAATGAAGGAACATGTTGAGCATCATATCAACAAACCGAACACTGCTTCTTCTCTAAGTTCTTATCAAGAGATTTCCATTCATTACCTCATCAACACGGACGTTATAAATCTGAATCGTACTATCATCCATTCCAATAGCAATGATATTGTTGTCTTGAGGGTGGAAAGCAAGAAACGTTGCAGCAGGTGGTGGTGGCATGAACGTAGCCATCGTCTGCAAATCATTAGCCAAGAACAGTCAAGTCAAAATGCATACACAAAACATCAAAACCTTAAACATCTGTTTCTCCCCATTACCTTAAACGTCATCATGTTAAACAAGGAGATCTTTCCTCCAGAGGCTGACATTACATATGAATCATTCTTGGATAAAGCAAAACAAGGTACAGCTTCCTCTGGATTGTTCTCAGCAGCGTCGTTAGTCATGAGGATTCCACTTGCTGGTTGCCATTGCTGAGGTGGTAAAGAAGCTGTCGCCTACAAGAATGAATCATAATGTAGACATCAGTGATAAATCATCATGATTTGATTAAGCAAGTGAGAGACTCAGCTTCACCTTTCCAGTTGCGTTGCGGTCATTCCTCTGCCATTTCCAGAGAAGATGAATAGCGTTTGATGCCAAGGCTAAAATAGCGTTTCCTGAATTAGTGAAAATCAATCTTGATATCTGCAAAAGGTTATAGGTTTATTATCAGAACCTATATATGTATAGCCTGTGTACATGATCAGAAAATGTATATGTTTATGTACCTTAGCAACTCTTAGATTCTCAGGGAGTCTCAGTGACCTGCATTGAGAAGGCTCGCTGACTTCAGTAAGCTTCCATATCTTAGACTTATCATTTGGTTCTTCTGTAATCACTGGCTTCACATCCACCATGTTCCTCGAATCTCCATTCTACAAAGAGCAAGTAATCATGAGTGATGGAAAGATAAAAATAGAAATAAGTGAAAATAAACATATATAGAAAATAAACATACCATTCCTTGGATGGAAACTACATTGGTTGATCGATCTGTGACTCCAGCACTCGTAGCTGCAGCAGCTGCTGCTGCAAGGCTGCTTATCGCAGGCTGCAAATGTAGAAAGGAAGTGTTGAAGAAACTTTCAGTTGCGCATAGTAAGTGATATAAAGAGTTTAAGTACCTTGGAGGGTTCAGATGAAATGTTCTCAAAAGTGTGTAATAGTCTTAGACCATCTGAGTTTGCCATAACCTTGATCACATTCTCGTTTCCAGACACGGCCAAGAGAGAGCCTTCCTTATTAAACCGGATACGCGGGCTTGCCTGGAGACCTCCATCGCCATCAATGGCAGTTAAAAGCTGTACATTGTCCATATCCCAGAACTTGATGGAGAAGTCATCACCAGCAGCTAGATAACGGTTTTTAGTTGTATCAAACTGCACAACACCGAGAGAACGCTTGTGGAATCCTTGGTAAGTTCTTTTAACAGCTCCTTCACTTTCATTCCACTCAACTATGTAAGACTCTCCATCTTTACTTGTTCCACAAGAGAATAGCCTAGTTCCATCGGCACTGTAAGCCATTGTAGTACACCAGCGACCCGGTGCATCATAGTCTACTCTAGAACCCATGTTGTCATACAACCATGCCTTGATTTTCCCATCTAGAGCCGTCGAGAATATAAACTTGAAGACAAGAAAAAAAAAAACATCAGAAAACATGAAAAGGGGAGGGAGGGAAATCAATGGATATAGCTTACCTGAATGTTTTCCTTGTAGTGAGGACAGACAGAGTAAACAGGAGCTTCATGGCCTTCAA